CCCCCGGAGCCCCCACTCCCACCCGACCCCGCCGCCATCGCCGCTGACACCGGGGCCGCGCGACAGCCGCGCTTGGCGGCACCGTGGCAACCGCGGTGCACCGACACCCTGAGGGAATAGGACCCGGGGCTGGGGCCGGGTATGCTTTACGGCACTGCCGGGCAATGAAGCATCGTGGGCTAGGGTACTAATAACTATGCCCCAGTAGGAAAAGAAGGACGACGGGGTCGGGAAGGTTTGCTTTACGGCACGGCGAGGTGACGGAGTGGCTCCGAGAGGGATGAAAACTGGGACAGGGCGTTTTTGCGACAGAAGAAACGACTGCTGCAGGCGTCTTTACGACGCTTTCTGTTCGCGACAGCGGCACCGACGACTCCGCCCTCATCTAGGCTGGCGACACCTTGAAGGATTCGCTTTACGGCAAGAGGAGGTGTCGCCCCTTCGCGCTGTACACTTCAAAGCGGTGTGCCGGACCCCGAGAAGGGAATAGGTAGCTTTATAAATAAGTCTGCTTGTCACGCCAGTGAGAGTAGATGCCTTTGCGATAACGACGCTGTCTCTCCACTTTGTATCACACCTGTGATAAGCAAAGCAGGTCACCTTTTGGGGTGGGAAGTCCCGCGGTTGTGCATAGGCAAGCCCTCTTTGAACGCCAACCAAACTCGGATTTTAGAGAATCCAAAGAAATGTGAGCAGGCAGTCCCAAGCTGACGACCCATAAAGACCCCCTAGAGCAATTAACAAATTCCGGGCCCTTCTCGGGTGGCTCGCTCTAAGGTTGAGAGGGTGTGACGTCACAATTACGGCTTCTCGCCCCTAAACCAGGACTCCTGCCTATGATTGGTTAATTCGGATTGGTGATGGGGGGAGAAGGGCGGGAACAAATCTCAGAGACAAAGAAAGCAGTCTTGGGGGTGGGGCAGAAGGGGAGGGGCAAGCGAAGGGACTGCTAGGCCGAGGTTCCGCCATTTAAAGTGCCGATTCTGCCCACCAAGCGCCTGGGAGCAGTGGGAGGGGACCCGCGCCTCCACCAAACCTCCCCTCTCCCCGCGGCGGGGGCGGGGTCTCGGGGCGGGGCTATGTGGAGCGGGGCGGCCTAGGGGCGGGGCTATGTGGAGCCGGGAGGCAGGGACGCGTAGCTAAGAGGTGCCCACTCGGGCCATGGAAAAGCTGGCAGACCTGGGGGCCGCTGGCGGCGTGAAAGAGGATGCCGGGGGCGCCAGGGGAGTGGCAGAAGACGGCAGCGGAGTCGAGGCAGGCCCCGGGCTGAGCTCCGGAACAGACTTGATTCACGATCCCGGGCCTTCCCTGTACTCCGCGGGAATCAGCTCTAGTTCCAGCCAGTCCTCCGGGGTCCTGAGCTCCGGGCCCAACCAGCACTCTGGGGAGGTTGCAGGTCACAAGTTCTTTAGGGGCATCCTAAAAGGCAACGGCCCCATCCTTATGCAAACCCTCCCCGCCAAGGATTGGTAAGGAACCAGCTCTTCAGGAACGTTGTGCGGAGCCGGGAGGGAGGGATCTTGGAGGGGCGGAGCCAAGAGAGAAGGGGAAGAACCTGACAACTAGTCGCGGAAGAAAGGGCAATTGGGTGAGAAATCTGAGATTCAGACCTGTGGGAGAGCTGCGGTGTGACACTATCCCCAGATTCCTAGGCCTCTGGAACTACCAAAGAGCAGAAGAAAAAGGTTTTGAATGACTGAAATAAAGGAGGAGTTGAGTCTAGGCCATTTTCTCCGTGTGTGTGTGTGTGTGTGTTTCCACCAACCACCCAGGAAGAAGTCTCAGCACTGGGATGAAACGAACATTCTGGCCACCTACCATCCTACTGACAAGAATTACAGATTTATGAAGGTGGATGAGCCTAGCACTCCTTACCACAGGTACTGAGCCGACAGTCCTAGCCCTTCAGCCCCTTCTCATCTCTCCAAAGAGGGAACAGAAAGGAGGAGGCAGAGAGGGACTAGGATGCTGCCTGATGCCCTCCTTCAGCAATGCTTCCTCCTTCCTCTTCAGACTGCAAGACAGTGATGAGGACCTGTCTGCGGGGTCCTCTCGCACAATGACTCCTGAGATGCTAACAGAAAAGTGAGAGCCCCTGTTAGATACTTGTTGGGATATGGGATCTCTTTCTCCTTTCCCTTCTGAACTTGAGGTCCTGAGGCAGCTATGCCTTTTAACCCCTTAAGTAGGAGGTTTTACAATTACCACCAATGCCAAGGTGAGGGAGTCAGCTAACTTATCCCTGTCCATCACTGCCTGCATTGTTGTTCTCATTTTTCAGTGCCCCCAACCAGTTTCCTCCCCTTCAGGTTTGCAACAATGGGCAATTTCTATCCCAAGATTCTCCAGCATGGTGATAACAGAGGTTCAGAATCTCAAGACAACTTTTCCAAGACATGTGAGATGAGGGTGGGGAATTAAATGGAAAAGGGAGGCAGAATGAACCTTCATCAAGAGCCTGGTAGGAACCAAGCTCTTACACTGGCCCACAGACTCCAGTGATTTTGAAAAGCACCGCAAGACACACTACAATGAAGGAAAGTACCTCAAGCCTCAGAAAAACCTACCCCTGGACAATAATGAGAACAGCAATAGGAGTAGTGTCAGTATGGACAGTGGAAGTCAAGGTGTGACACTGAACACAGAGCCCAGGCCTATGGAGAGAGGCTGGGCAGAAAGATGGACCAGAGGAATCAAAGATGACATTGTCCCAGCTACCAGGAGCCACATCCTAGAAGCCCAGGGTTAGCGATGGTGGGGCCCTACAAACTCACGGGAACTATAGTCTAGCACCTTCTCCACTGTTGTCACTTTTCCTTGGTGGGCAGGGACCTGGATCCCTGCTGTCTGAGAGGGAGATGGTATTGGCAGGTGATCCTGGAAAAGATAGGGCAGCTGGGTTGGAATAGTCCCAGGGAAGGCTGATTGGTGAAGAGAACAGAAAGCCCAAGAGAACCATGGGCACAAAAGATTTCTTTTTTAAAGTTTTGTTTATTTATGCATACAAAAACCAGGGTACAGGCCAGAGGTGTGAGGGGTAAGAGGACTCACCAGAGACAGTGGGAAATATACTGCCGAGGGGAGCAGTGGGCGGGTCAGAAGAGGTCTGCGCTATGGGGTCAGCTCCCTAGCTGGGAGTGCTACAGTGCCAATGGATAGGTTGATAGTGCTGCACTTTAACCCCTTTAACTCCCTTGTACCACCAGGGAGGCCCACCAAAGAATTTTTAAGTTGGGGGAGGCAAGAGAAATGAGATGAGAACCTGGGGTTTGAACCTCTCTCCTATGGTGGGGAACCACAAAGGGCACTTGAGGAACCAGGATCCCTTAGGTGGCCATAAGATTCAGATTGATTTGGGTGACTCCTCAGATACCCCTGCCTTCAGAAATCAGTCCCTAGCTTCGTCTGCCTCCGTACCAGAGAAGACTGATTTGCCACGCAAGGAGTATTTTAGCAAAGGAAGATACCTGAGGTGTTCTGCCCACCCAGAGGAGGATATAGAGGATGACACCCAAGAGGAACAGCAGGATGGTGAGAGACAGGCCAGGTCAGCTTGGGGATGGGAGGTCTAAGAACTTGATGGGTGCCCCGACTCTGATCCAGTGACACTTCTAGGATCCTCAAGCTTGACCTTGGCGATTGAGAATTCCATATACACTGAGGTCCGTCTGGTAGACCACACAGGAAGCCCTTTTCAGGACCACAAGGCCACCAAGAAATCCCTATAGGAGACAATGATACCATCACAACCTGGTGAGGGTAACAGACCTCCATTTTATTGGGCCTGGCTCTAGGCAAGCTCCCATCCCCCAACTTCCACCCCAAACATCCTATAGTCCAAGGCCCACATTGGGTTTTTTGTTTGTTTTAAGATTTTATTTAGTTTTGTATAGAAGAACTGGGATGTAGGCCAGAAGGGGGGGGCTGGAGGGGGTTGGTAAGAGGATTCACCAGTGAGAGTGGGGAGCAGAGCTGGAACTCAGGCCATGATGGTGATAGGGCTGAGACTTAACCCCTCGACTACCAGAGAGGTCCCAGGAGGCCAAGATTGTGCAGAGAGGAACAAGGGAGGAGCCTCTGGCCAGGGAGGTAGAGAGGCTGAATGGATAGATTGTAGAGTCTGAGCCCCCAGAAAACCTCTAACCCAACCCCTTCTCTCTCTAGATGAAACCTGCAACATCAATGGACTCAAGGAGGAAAGCAGACAATGGAAAATGTAGTTGTATGGGGATGGCATGGAGTTCAGTCTTCCCTTTCCCTTACCACCTTAGGGGTAGACAATAAAGAAAACAAGAGCAGGCAGGCCTCTGTGTGCTGTGAATTGGGGCCAGTCACTGAGGAGAAGGGGAGGAGGGAGGGAAGTTGACATACAGGAAACCACTAGCTGGCAGAACAGAAAAGAAAGCTTGGAGTAGACCAGGGAGGGAGCTGTACTCAACAAGAACCTAGGGGTTTAAGAAGACCCAGCTGTAACAGGATGACAATGATTTATAGGATTCAGTCCACAATCTTTAAAGAACTAATTGAATTTGTACTGGCTTTAATTCTTACAGTCTGGTAGGTGTGATCACCAGCTTCAAGATAAACTGAGAAAACAAAGAGCTTGCCCAAGGTCATACAACCTCTTATGTATCAGAATAAGGATTTGAACCTATGGCTACCAGGCCTCCAAATGCTACCACTAAAGGAAGAAGCATCGTCTGTGAGGGCGGGCTGTGGTTTCTCTGCTCACAGGCCCATTTTTACCTAGGCCACGCCTCTGCCCCTCCCTGCATAACCTGGAAGAGGGGTGAGAGCTCACTAGCTTACTAGGAGCCCCCTTCCCCTGTAGAAAGAGTTACTTTTCCTGAGGCTCTGAAGAGGAGAGGACCCTCTCCTCTTTTCTGCATCTTTGCCCCTCCTGGGGCAAGGAGTCTTCCATCTACATCCCCACAGCCTGGCCCAGGGCCCACTGGCCCCACAGTGACCCAGCTGAGATGACCATCAAAGTGGATTTTGAGGAGTGTCTCAAGGACTCACCCCGCTTCCGGTAAGTGAGTGCAGGTTTCAGGGCAGAGGGAGGTGGGTCTGACACCCTATAACACACAAACTTCCCACACCAGATATGCTTGCAGGGAGTAGATTTCAGAAGGACAAGATGGAGTGTGTGGGCCCAAGCAACACCACCACCAGGAAACTGAGTACTCTAATACTCTACCTCCTCCTGCACGCGGGGGGCCTCTTCTGTCTCTTACCCCAGAGCTTACCCCTTCCTCTCTCACTTGGACCCCTGCCCTTCCCCCAGCACCTGCTCTGCGCCTGGGTGGTTAGCAACTTCCTGCCTGCCCCACATCTACCTCATAACCTTCCTGCTTTAGCCTGGGCTAGGAACTCCCACACTGCAGAGTGAGCAAGCAAAAGAGGGTAGTGAGCAGTTTTTAACTCATCAGTTTTTTCCATCTCTATCTTGTACCTCATAACTCCAACACCCTATATACATACCCCTATGCCACCCACCCCAGAGGAAGGCAGACTGAAATGGACCCAGGCTGTATTCCCGTGACCCCAGCCTTCCTTTTCCTAGGGCTTCGGTTGAACTGGTGGAAGCTGAAGTATCAGAATTGGAGACCCGGCTGGAAAAGGTGATCCTGATTCAGAGAGGTGGCACAGGATGGGGTTAAGATAAGAGGAGCTGGCCAGGGAGAAAGTTGGAGTTTGAGAATGAGGTTCAGGGCTTCCTTCCAAAGGATTATTGGCAGTTCAGTGTCATGCTGTTGTAGGACTGAGACCCTAATTTCCTAGGGATCATCCCCATGCCCTGTCTCTGGGCAGTTGATAACAAGGTGGCTTGCTGCTCCCAGCCAGCAGGAGTGTCTCCGTGTGCACGCTGACAAGAAGGCCTCACTTCAGATCATAGTAATTACAGGAGCGCCTTCCACCACCTCCGTTGTGAGGCATAACGTCATTTGGAAAATGCCACTCCAGCTCCTTTGCCAGAGTCTATCAGAAACAAGAAACAGGACTTGCTCACACTCAAGGGGCAAGGATTATACAAGGGTGGGAATCATTGGGGGAGTCACCTTAACATGTGTCTGTCACTGATTTTTTTTTTCTTGTCTGTTTTTCCCTATTAGAATTAAATGCCCAGAAGGACTTTTATGTTTTATTTTTACTCAATCCCCAGTGCCTATACCAGAGCCTGAAAATTAGATGAAAAATATACACACGTACTTCTTAATTAAACTTAATATTTTTAAAACATTTATTTTATTCATGCATACAAGAGCTGGAATACAGGCCAGAGGTGCAGGGGGTGAGAGGATTCACCAGAGACAGAGCGGGGAGAAGAACAGGCAGATCTACTGAAATACACTGCTGAGGACAGCAGCAGGAGAGACAGGAGAGGTCTGCTGTGCCATGTGGGTCAACTCCAAGGCCAGGGATCAAACTCGTGCTGCAGGAGCTGCTGATAGCTTCATAGGTGCTGAGACGAAATTCATTGTGCCACCAGGGAGTCCCTTAATCAAACTTTTGAGTTTGTTGTAGACTCAAAAGAAGTTGTAAAAAATAAGGCCCCAGCGTCCTGCAATAGCAACATCTAACATGATTATCTAGTCCTTTATGAAAACCTGGGAAGTAATATTGACACAATGAACTAGCTTTTTTATTTTACATATCCTCTTTAAAATCACTGTATATAACTCAATGACAGTTTACCACATGATTAGAGTCATAACCAGCATTACATTTGAGCTACGAGGCTCCTCACCAGAGGGACTCCTGTGCTGCCCATTGCAGTGATGCCCCCTTTTCTAATCTAGATAGCTTCTCATTTGTTCCCTATCTCTAGGCTTTTGTCATTTCTACAGTTACATAAATTATATGTGACCATTCAAGATTGACTTTTCCACCCCACTCAGAATAATGTTTATATAAGCTCGAAGTTTATTCAAGTTGTTGTGTATCAATAGTATAGTTAATTATCAAGAATGATTTATTCATTTCTTTGCATAGCTGAAAAATATTCTGGCTTGTGCCATTTTGTCATGACTTCCATCTTATGAAAGTTTTTTTCTCAAATATATGGGGGAACACTCCATCCTCCAGCTCTACACAGTGAGCTGTGAGCATATAGGTCACTGGTCCTTGTCACAGATGTCCTGTGGTAACATCTGATAAGATTTGATTGTGGCCAGTTTCTTGATGTTACTGACCCTGCTGACCACCTTCAAGTCAAGTTATATTTCCCCAAAGCCTTCACTAGCCCTCTAGAGAGTCTGCTCAACAAAGTACACTGAGCACCTATGAAGCCCATGTTTCTGAGCCTCTGCAGCCCAGGATTTTCTCACAGAACCTGCCAGGTGGTGGTCTGTCCCTGGGCTGAGTTTAAGCACACCACACACTTGCTCTGTCTTAGAGCTCGTGACTCAGGCCAGAGCCACATGATGTTACCTTAGCGGCAGTGTAGTTCCCGGTAGTAAAAGGGCCAGGGGTCAAGATCTCCCTTTGGCGTCTGGTTCAGCCCCCTGGCCCTCCTAGAGAGCCCTTTCTTGGGGTATAAGAAAGCCCTTATTGGCCCTCCTTGGTGGCGCAGCGGGTTAAAGCACAGCACTAAGAAGCTTAAGCCACTTCCACATGAGTTTGATTCCCCGCCTGCCCCGGAGGTGACCACATGGCGTGGCAGACCTCTCCTGACCCGCCCGCTGCTCCCCTCAGCAGTGTACTTCCTCGATCTGCCTGTTCTGCTCCCCACTCTGTCCCTGGTGAATCCTCTCACCCTCCGCATCTCTGGCCTGTACCCCAGTTCTGTATGAATAAATAAAAAAATCTTAAAAAAAAAAAAGCCCTTATTATATGTTAGAAATGGGGTGGGGGGGGGAGTTGAACTGGGCTGCTGAGAGGTATAGGCGTAGTTGGGAAGGAGAGGTACAGCCCTGGGGAAAGAGGAAGTGGGGATGAGCAGGGGGTATGGTGGCACACAGCATGACTCCCTGTTGTCCTGTTGCCTTCTAGCTTCTCAAACTGGGCACTGGCCTCCTGGAAAGTGGACGCCATTACCTAGCTGCTGGCCGTGCCTTCATTGTTGGCATTTGTGATCTGGCCCGCCTGGGTCCACCAGAGCCCATGATGGTGGTATGTGAAGGGTTGGAGTGGGACCTGGATAGAGTCTGGGATTTGGAGAGATCCTGTGGAAAGGAAGGGTGAGCCTGGGGTCCACAGTCCCAGGCCTGCCATCTGCATAGTGATAGCATGCTGAGTCTAGAGGTGGGTGGGGCTGCCTCCCCTTGCCTGGTACTCTTTCTCTGCCTTTTCTTGCCTAGGAATGTCTGGAAAAATTCACTGAAAGCCTGAACCATAAGCTGGACAGCCACGCAGTGAGCAAGGGGAAGTGGGGCTCATGGGGCAAGGGGAAAGTTGTCCATGGTCTTAACCCTCACCTGCCAATTTATGCTTCCCCTCAGGAGCTTCTAGACGCCACCCAGAATACTCTGCAGCAGCAAATCCAAGCCCTGGTCAAGGAGTGAGTTGGGAGGGAAAGGAACGTTCTTTCCAAGCAACCAGCCCTCCTCCTACTACAGTCCTCCCTGAATATAGGACTTGTGAGATTGGGGTTTTCTGGTGGCCTGAGTGCTGTTCCCCTATCCCAACGATCCCTTTGGAGTTCCAAGTGTACCTAACCTGAACAGTTGTGAGTGGGCTTTCTCTGATGGGAGCAGGGGGGTATATCTGTGTGTTATTTCTCCACCCTCAGAGGTCTCCGGGGTTTCCGAGAGGCTCGTCGGGATTTCTGGCGGGGGGCTGAGAGTCTGGAGTCTGCTCTTACCCACAATGCAGAGGTTCCCAGGCGCCGGGTCCAGGAGGCAGAAGAGGCCGTCGCAGCTTTGAAGAATGCTCGAGCTAGTTACAGGGGACGAGCACTGGATTATGCCCTGCAGGTGCCAGCCCAGGCCTGTCCTCCTGGGGGAGCAGGGCTTCAGTCACCTCAACAATAGCAAGTTCCTTGGTATGCAGTGGAGGGGAAGTTACATTTTCATGGCGGACCTGAAGTCATTTTGTTCCTTCAGATCAATGTGATTGAGGACAAGAGGAAATTTGACATCATGGAATTTGTAAGTTGTACTGGTGAGGTGTGGGCCCTCCCTCGTGGCACAGCAGGTTAAAGTGCAGCACTATGAAGCTGTCCACTGCCACTGCAGCACAAATTCAATCCCAGCCAGGGAGGTATCGCACATGGCCCAGCAGACCTCTCCTGCCTCGCCCGCTGCTCCTCTCAGCAGTATATTTCATTGGATCTGCTTGTTCTGCTCCCCACTATGCCTCTGGTGAATCCTTTCACCCCCTGCACCTCTGGCCTGTACCCCAGTCCTTGTAGGCATAAATAAAAACAAAATCTTTAAAAAAAAAAAGTGAGGTGGGGGCCTTTTGATACACAGCAGGAGGGAAGAGGAAAAGAAAGGGGGGGGGTCCTTTCTCAACTCTGTCCCCTGCCCACCTTGTCCCTCAGGTCCTGCGTTTGGTGGAGGCCCAGGCAACCCATTTCCAACAGGGTCACGAGGAGCTGAGTCGGCTAGCCCAGTACAGGACGGAGCTGGGTGCCCAGGTAGGGCCCCAGGGAACAGACGGGTAGTGAAGGGAAGTGGACTCTGAAGTGACTCACTTGGTCTAGTTGGGGAAGGACGGGCTATCAAGATGCCCTTCTTATGCCCAGTTGCACCAGCTGGTCTTGAATTCAGCTCGAGAGAAGAGGGACATGGAACAGAGACACGTGTTGCTGAAACAGAAGGTGAGCACTGTGTCTGCAGACAGGAGAAGCCTGGGCCTTGGTCCTGACCCATCTCAGTTGCCCTTTGACTCTTGTGCCTCCAGGAGCTGGGCGGGGAGGAACCAGAACCAAGCCTGCAGGAGGGGTCTTGTGGCCTGGTCATGGAAGGACATCTTTTCAAAAGGGCCAGCAATGCATTTAAGACCTGGAGCAGGTGAGGAAAGGACACCCCTTTCCCTCAGCCAAGCACAATCCAATGAAATATTTTTTGAGGGGTTACGTGAATCTGCCCTCATGTTTACATTCCATCAGGAAGACACAATGAACATCATAATTGAGTAAATTGCATATTATGTTAAGAAAATAGAAATAGGAGACAAATAATAAACAGGAGGATAAAATTAAGCAAGGTATGCAGAGAACTGGCAAGGTGTTGCAGTTCTTTTTATGGCAGGGTAGACCTCAGGAGAAGGAGACTTCTGAATGAAGATTTGAAGGGTATCCTAGGGAAGAATGTTCCACACTGAAGGGAGATCCAGTACCAAGGTCTTGAGAAACCTGGAGTGTTGGGGGCACAGAGAGGAAGATGTGGGTCTGGGCAGAGGGAGGGAAGAGGAAGTTGGTGGTGATGAAGCTGGAGCTAATGGGGGTGTCAATCGTGATAGGGTCTTGTTGGCTCCTGTGAGGACTTAGGCTCTGTACTGAAGGAAATAGGGAACCAGTGCAGGGTGTGGAGCAAGGTGGTAATCTGCTCTGACTCAACTCCTTCCCCGTCTAGGGCTACTGCCGGACTATATGGGATCTGTGTGTAAATTAGAACACAGAACCCCTTCCCCCAAGATAGTTAAAAAAAAAATCTATTAAAAAAAAAAGTGTAGCAATAGACGTTTGGAAAAAGTATTTTACTGCCATCTGCTAGATAACTGTCTTTCCACCTGCTGGGTTGTCCAAGTTGTAAACAGCACCCCTTGGGGAGCCCCACCTACACAACTGCCTGTTGTCCTTTGCAGCATTTCATGGGACAGTCAGCCCAGGTCTCTCTCTTCTCAGCAAAATCTTCATGGGGCACAGGACACAACCTCTCTGCTATCCCTATCCCCAACCTCATCCTGATGCATTTCACATCCATGATCCTGTTTCTACCTCCCGTAGACGCTGGTTCATTATTCAGAGCAACCAGTTGGTTTATCAGAAGAAATACAAGGTGGGTAGGCTGCGTTCTGGGTGCCTGGGCCCAGGGAGATGTAACCCTTGCTGCTGCTGGCTGAATTCTACCCCTTATCCCTTTTCCCACAGGACCCTAAGACTGTGGTGGTAGACGACCTTCGTCTCTGCACAGTGAAGGTCTGCCCTGACTCAGAAAGGCGATTTTGCTTTGAGGTGGTGTCCCCCAGCAAGTGAGTGCAATTGCCAGCAGCAATGCTCTGAGTATTTCTAAATATTTTATCCACTGGAAAGGCAAAACATCCCTCCAGCACAGGTTTTAGGACACCGCCCCCCAAGGAGACCCATACATTGGTCTTTTGGTGACTGGACTGTGGGGCAGACTCGGGGGGGATAGGGAAGGGGAGTACAGAGAAGGATATTACCAATTGGTACAGAGTGTTCGGTATGACCAGAGGCAGTTGAATACCAGCTAAATGTCAGCCTGCCCATCCTGCCGCCTGGTCCCCAGTGTCCAGTCTTTCGCCACTCTCTGTCCCATCCTGCCCAGGTCCTGCCTCCTCCAGGCTGACTCTGAGCGTCTCCTGCAGTTGTGGGTCAATGCTGTGCAGAGCAGCATCGCCACAGCCTTCAGCCAGGCTCGCCTGGATGACGACACCCGGGGTCCAGGCCAGGTACCTTAACAAAGGGGTTCAGATTTGGGCTGCCCAGGGGGATGGGGCGCCCCTTCCCTAAACTACTGTTTCTTCCCTTGTCACCCCCAGGGCTCAGGACACCTGGCTGTGGGCTCTTCTGCCACTCTGGGTTGTGGTGGTTTGTCCAGGGGAAGGGAAACTGGGGGAAGCAGGCATGTGGCAGCCCAGGTACAGAGTGTGGATGGCAATGCCCAGTGCTGCGACTGTCGGGAGCCAGCCCCTGAGTGGGCCAGCATCAACCTTGGTGTCACCCTCTGCATTGAGTGTTCCGGCATTCACAGGTCACACTCTGGGGCCCCCAAGCCTGGTGATGGGGTGGGGGAGTGGCACCTCAGATAGACCCATCACTCCTCTCTTAGGCCACAGCCATCAGCAGGCATGGTCTGTGCCCAGCCTGTGGGGCCCAGGTGAATTCAGGCTATGGAGTGTTCCTGTCTGGCCAGGGTTGAGAGACACCCAGACATGGCTTGACTGGATGTGGTATGGGATCAGAGCTGCTGAGGGTGGGTGGGGAAATTAATGGAGAGCAGAAAGAGATGGTCATGAGGCCATAAATCTGTAGACTGACTACCCCCAGGTCACATTGGTGGAAGGAGTGAATGGGAATGGCATAGAAGGAGTTGTCTAGGCCAAAATACTATGCGAAAAGGGAGATGACTATAGAGAAGAGTATTCAAAAGAAATGTCGGGAAAGAAGGGAGGAGATGTGAACAGACAGAATTCTGCCTGAACCAGGTCAAGGCTACCTGGTTCCAGCCATCCTGGCCCAGTGCTTCTGCCTGTCTCCATGCAGCACCTTGTTGCAAACTTTGTCAGGAGCAGTAGTAGCTCCCCTGGCTGCTGCCCAGAGGACCTGACACTCCCATCTGACCCTCCAGGAGCCTTGGAGTTCATTTCTCCAAAGTACGGTCTCTGACCCTCGACTCATGGGAGCCAGAACTAGTGAAGGTAATTTGGGGTCTCATGAAGATTGTGGGGTGGGAGGGTGAGGTGAAGACGGGGCTAGAGAACTTGAGGGCTCAAACACTCACCTTCTCCTCACCTGTTTATCCCTGCCTCTGCCTGGCAATCAAAGCTTATGTGTGAGTTGGGAAATGTAGTCATCAACCAGATCTATGAGGCCCGTGTGGAGGCCATGGCAGTGAAGAAGCCAGGGCCCAGCTGCTCCCGGTGAGGTTGGGTTGAAGGCACTGGGACTGCTCTCCTTGGGGTAGAGGGAGGAGGGTCTGAATGGGAAAAGAGCAAACTATCCTCTTCTCCCCTACTCTCCACTCCAGGCAGGAGAAGGAGGCCTGGATTCACGCCAAATATGTAGAGAAGAAGTTCCTGACCAAGCTTCCTGAAATTCAAGGGCGAAAAGGGGGTCAGGGGGCCCTGAGAAGGCATCCTCCGCTGCCCCCAAAGCCTTCTATCAAGCCAGGGCCAGGGAGCTTCAGATCTAAGCCAGGTACAGAATTGTTTACCCATTCAGTGAGCACCTGTTGTGCTCTCACCACTGTGCTTGGTCCTGTGTGGGGGTACAGAGTGTGAGGCCCAGGCATTGTTACCCTTGAGAATGTTTCAGGGGCCAGGCCATACCAGCACTGGCTTGAAGTCTGGGAAGGACCGTGTGGTTAGGAAGGGCTCAATAGCATGAGAAAAGTCAAGAATGAGATTAAGGGCCTACCTGGTGGTGCAAGGGGTTTAAGTCTCAGCACCATGAAGCTCTCCACAGCCACTGTAGCATGAGTTCAATCCCCTGCCAGGGAGGTGACCCACAGGGTGCAGCAGGCCTCTCCTGTCTCATCCGCTACTCCCCTCAGCAGTATATTTCAATAGATAAACCTGTTCTGTTCCCTGTTCTCTCTGATGAATCTTCTCACCCCCACAGCTTTGGCCTACACCCCAGTTCTTCTAAGTATACATAAATAAAATAAATCTTTAAAAATGGGTTTAAATTACAGTCTATAGCTTAAGATCTGAGAAAAGGTATGAGTGTGGGTGGAACAGAAGCTTCCCAGAGAACTGAGGCTAATCAGGGGTCAGCTCACCTGTGACATCCAGCCAGTCAGAGTGGTTTTTACAGGAAGAGATGACACATGGTGTGGGCCATTTCCATCCCTTAGAGGCATAGCACACACACACACAATTCCACCTCCCACCACAGTTCTGAGTCTCAAACACCTCCCCACAAGGGAGAAGTGCCCTCTCCCCTTACAGTACAAGGGAACTACGCTGAGGGGTTTCTTCCCAGACTCATAGTTGATCCTTTCACCAGAGTCTCCCTCTGATGACCTGGGCAGCCTGCATCCTGGGGCCCTGCTGTTTCGAGCTGCTGGCCACCCTCCATCCCTTCCCACCATGGCTGATGCTCTTGCCCATGGAGCTGATGTCAACTGGGTCAATGGAGGCCAGGAGAATGCCACACCACTGATCCAGGCCACAGCAGCCGTGAGTATCCTGTCCACCTCCCCACCCCATCCTCAGGCTCCTTATCTTTGATTCATTCTCCGACTTTGGGCTCAGCTCTTATCCCTGCTTCATCCTCCCTGCTCCCTGTGATGCCCCTCAGCCCAACCTTTTGGAACTGATTAGAGAACCCATAGAGATTGGTTGCAGGGGGTATGTGATTTGAAGGTAGGTAATGTGCGTTTGGATCTAGGCTCTCACCACTTACATTTAAGAACTTCTCTGTCCCTCAGTTTCCATATCTATAAAATGCTGGTAACATACCTCATGAGGATGTACTATGGAGTTAGTACATGAATACATGTAAAGGACTAGGCAGAATGAGCCACCTAGCTGTACCTCTGTACTCTCAGACCTCAACCTCTGAACTGACCCCCACTCTGAAACATATTTAAATCTCCTCTAAAGATGCCATCTTCTCACTCCATTCTCCACTTAATGCAGAATTCTCTTCTGGCCTGTGAGTTTCTCCTCCAGAACGGAGCAAACGTGAACCAAACAGACAGCCAGGGCCGTGGCCCACTTCACCATGCAACCATTCTTGGACATACTGGGTAGGGGCTTCAGGGCTACTGGTCTTGGGGAGGCAGGATCTGATGGTGAGCAGCAGGCTGAATCTGCCTATCTCCTTCAGGCTGGCCTGCTTGTTCCTGAAACGGGGTGCTAACCTGGGGGCTCGGGACTCTGAAGGCAGGGACCCTCTCACTATCGCCATGGAAACAACCAACGCAGACATTGTCACCCTGTGAGGATGCCTGAAGCAGCCATTCTAAAGTGGAGACCTGAGCTTTAGGCCCCGGGGCTGGAGAGGGGGCCGCCTCTGACTAGATCAAGTAGAAGGATGTTCCGAATCTTGGTTGGGAGAAAGGCAGGGTGGTGTGTGAGTGTGTATGGGAGGGGTGTGCCTGGCTGGAGGATGGTGAGTTCACTCTGAGGCATCATTCATGCATCAACATTGTTGTCAAGCGCCTTTTACGTATTACACCTGGGGGAACGGATGAATAAAACAAGGAAGCTGCATGAAGGGAAGAAGGGCGGTGTAGGGTGGGGGGACATTCAGGAGAATGTCATTGATTCCTTAATTCCCTCCCCTTTAGGCTAAGATTGGCCAAGATGAGAGAGGCCGAAGTGGCCCTGGGCCAGGCAGGTAAAGTACCTTCTCCAGGTTCAGTGTCCTACCTCAGTTTCTTGACCTCGATGACCTAGATCCCTCATGTCCAGTTTCATAAATTAACTCCATTATCTATTCAACAAATGTATTGGGCACATCAGACAGGTCAAGCCTTCCCAACAGAGCAAAGAATAGGTGAGGGTGCTGTCCCTCCACCCACACTGAAGTGCAGGCTTCAGGCCTCTCACGTCCTTAGGAAGCTCTTCTGTAGCCCAGGCATCCAGCCTCCACAGCCCACCCTCCCTCTCCCTCAGATGAGACTTATCTGGACATTTTCCGGGACTTCTCCCTCATGGCATCTGATGACCCAGAGAAGCTGAGCCGGCGCAGTCAGGACCTCCACACGCTTTGATTCCTGACCTTAGGTTAGCGGCGGCATCCCCAGCCCTTCCAGTCCTACAGCGTGCCCCTTGGCCATTAAAGTCTGTTTTCACACTTTCCTTCAAAGTTCATGTATTAGGCACCACTTGCACACCGGGCAAAGTATTGGGCACTCCGGTTTCAGGGTGTGAGAACACCTGGGGGTTTGCTAGCTCGAGTCAACCAAGGGGCAACTTCGGGAGGGCGAAGGGAAGCTTCAGTCCCAGCCCTTGCACCGGGTGGCCCGGGGGCGGGACTGGGGCTCAGGCGACGTGGCCAGACCGGTCGGGCCTGGGTGAGGCCGCTCGCGTGGGTTGGGGGCCAGCTTTCCCTTAGGGTGTGCTGGCTCCGGCCAGGATGGAGAGGCTGCAGCGGCCGCCCCAGCTCAGAGGCATCCTTGGAATGTGGCAGCTCAGCAACCGCCCCCTCGGGAATTCCCTAGGGAGAGACTGGGAGGGAACTGGTCCCCTAGCCTGGATCATGGGGGTTTGGCTCTCCCAGAAGCTGAGGGACTCAGGCCCCCGCCGAGCTGCAGACGTGAGGTCGGGCACACCTGGGGGCTGGCTGCCACATCCGGGGCGACGCCTGAGTCACCTTCCGGACCCCACCCCCGCTAGCGTCTGCTGGTCCAGCCCGTCCGCCCCGTCTCTCGGGTTGGGGACTCACAGCACCCTCCTCCACCCGGCCGCGGGAGCCCCGCGGGGGCGGGGGGCGGGGCGCCAAGGGGGCGGAGCTGCCTCTTAAAGGGCCCGGGGCCGCTGCCCTTAGGCCACTTCCTGGGGGCGGAGAGGACTTCTGAGGCTGCGACGACACCCGGGGAAGGCGGTGGCGCCTGGGCCCCGAGACTCTCGGCTGTTTCCACCAGAGTTCCTGGACCCTCCCAGCCCCGACTGAGTGTGCATCGTCTCTCCCCAAGCCGACCGAAGGTACCGCGGCCATCAGCTGCAGTCGCCCGCTTCCATCTCCTGGGACCCACGCCGAAGCCTAGTCGGGCCTCCGACTAGCCCCGGAGCGCTGCGTGGACTCTCCCGAGGCGGGAGCGATCTGCCCGAGATCAGAAGCTGGGCCTTTTACAGTCCGCCGTTTGCTCGCCACCGGCACCTGCTGGTTGGATTCCGGAAACCCAGTCTGAAGACCACAGAAAAAAATCCCTGATCGTCCAGTGCAGAAAACGTCTGGACCGAATTCTCCTTCCTTTCTGGCTTCTCTTTGCTCCTTTCATCTGTTCTCTCAACCTTCGGAGATTCTGTGCCGGGAAACTATCCCCTACCACCAAGGTAGCTGGGGTGAGCCCCAAATCTTGCCGCCTGTTCTCCACACTGTGCCTGCAACTCACAGAGTCTGAATCTTACCATCAAGGTCTGAACACTCCCAGAAGTTCTGCCTTTTCTTTTCTCTTAGTTGTCTCCTGTACTCCCCAAAATTTCCCCACCTCCTGTATCCTCTTCGCCCCCCTCCTTTGGGGGCCCCGTGACCCTGAATGTGGGGGGCACGCTATATTCAACCACTTTGGAGACCCTGACTCGCTTCCCAGACTCCATGCTGGGAGCCATGTTTAGGGCCCCCATGGCCCCCAACCTCAATCCCCAGGGAGGTGGCCATTACTTCATCGACAGAGATGGCAAGGCCTTCCGACACATTCTCAATTTCCTGCGGTTGGGGCGCCTTGATCTGCCCCGTGGGTATGGGGAGACAGCACTTCTCAGGGCAGAGGCTGACTTCTACCAGATCCGGCCCCTCCTGGATGCCCTTCGAGAACTGGAAGCCTCTCGGGGAACCTCTGCACCCACAGCTGCCTTACTCCACGCAGATGTAGATGCCAGCCCACGGCAGGTGCACTTCTCTGCCCGCCGTGGTCCACACCACTATGAGCTGAGCTCAGTCCAGTTGGACATCTTCCGAGCCAACCTCTTCTGCACTGACCCAGAGTGTTTGGGTGCAATGCGGACCCGATTTGGTGTGACCGATGAGGACAGAGCAGAAGGGGGTCCACATTTCCGACTGGAGTGGGCCCCCCGCCCCACAGAACTCCCAGAGGCCGAGTACAGGAGGCTGGGGCTGCAGTCTCTGTGGACTGGGGGGCCAGGAGAGCGACGGGAGGTCGTGGGCGCGCCAGGCTTCCTGGAAGAGGTATTGCGGGTGGCTCTAGAGCACGGCTTCCGTCTAGATTCCGTCTTCCCTGACCCCGAAGACCTGCTGAACTCCAGATCACTGCGCTTTGTCCGGCACTAAGAAATAAGAACCTGCCTTTGGTTTCATTGTTGGGGGTAAAGAATTGAGTAGCTATGGAGACAAAGTCACCTTGAAGCCTCTTCCTAGTTCTGTCTCCCTGTGAGCTGTGAGAGTCAGGGGCCCCACTGCACCTGACTGGAGCCCACTGAGGACTCCAGGTCGTCCAGAGGTTCTGGACTGTTGCTTATTCTGGGAAGGGTCGGGAAGATTTCCCTGACTTGTTCTCATATGAGGCTGGGGCAACTCCTTTCCATGAATGAAGCTCAGTATTCAAGGGTCTAGAAAAACAAGGCTAGGCCTAATAGATCTCTGGAGGGACACCAAGTTCTGGAAAAGGGTAGTTTGGGGTTGCTCTAGTATGGTCTCTTGTATCAGGGCTTCTCCTTGTGGCTCAACCAATGAGAGGCGGGAATACTCTGGAACATGGGAAAAGGGATTCTTTGCTATGTTTTAAACTACGTATTGAGGGAGATAGAAAGTCTACACCCCCCAACCTCGGTTGGTAAAATGGAGCTAGGAGAAGCCCCATTAACTGTGGGACTGGAGCATCCCTCTAAAATCCAGCTGTTAAAGGGTCCCATACTGATGGTAGAGCCGGCCATGAGAAGGAAGGTGGCGCCTTCTGGGCTGTGCGTGTGCGCGTTTGCGCCTTCACATGCTCGTACATGAGCATATCACCCACTGTGTATGCCTGATGTGTGGGGCCCTGACACCTTGCCTCCCATCTATGTTACTAGAAATGGTATCTGTGTTGTTTTGTCTGTGGTCTCTGCGTGCCCAAGCCTGTTTAGCGTTGCCCAGCAACTGTTTTGGCACCAGGTGTGTCCTGAATAGATTGTGAATTACTAGCTTAATCACAAGGGGTGTGTCTGTGTGTGCATGCATGTGTGTTCCCATCACGGTGCAGGCAGGAGGGGCCTGTTGGGGTTGAGTCATTGGGATCTTCCTAGTGAGAGGTTAGAAAAGTCACTGGTCTTAGCCAGCCCCAGAGGCCTGTGAGGAACTCTTGGTTTCTAAGGCAACATGGGCCTGTTGCTAGGAGATAGCTAGGGAAGGCCCAAGGCTGCTCTGGGCAGAGAGGAGATAGCTTGGAAGAGTGGGGGAGGATATGTGATAGGATTTCTGGGTCCTACAGGATGGTATACTCATATACGGACACTTGGCTGGGGGAGTCACTGATTATTTATCACTCACTGGTCATGATTTATAAGAAGAAAAATAAAATTGCTTTTGGAACCATAAACTTGTAAATGCTACTGAGGCTAAGGTAGGGGTGCTATTCCTCTTGCTGCAGAAACCCTGTTTTTTCTGTCTGTTGCACACCAGAAATATTTCCTTCTGGCCCCCAGTTTCTTGGATCCCAGCTTTACCTAACCAGCCAGGGATAGAGCAGTGGTACTGTTCTAGAATGCTCTAGAACCCGCACCCCCTCAAAGCAAAGGGCTGGAACCAGGATCACAGAGCATTTCAGATGGGGGGCCAGTCCCCTGCTACCACCACCCCAGTGGGCCTTATGTGGATACTGACACTAGGTGGGGTTTTCCTGGCAGTTGCCCAGGCCTGTATTTTTTGCCATAGCCCAAAGCGAAACTTATCTGGTCGCGTGGCTCATATCTGCAACCATTTTAAGGTCCAGTGGAAGGATTGTAAGGATTCCTGGAAGTTCTCAACCTTTGCCTTAGGTAAGACCAGATGTTCAGAGACAACTAACAACTAGCAACTAACAACCCCAAGTGGGGCAGTATGTGGCTCCCAGCTGTGTCTTTCAGCAACAACTCTCTGGATACACTGGCTTCTCCCTCTGGGAGATAGATCTTTCAAAACCAGGGAAAGTCAGGAAAGACCCCAGAACCTCCTTCTGGGCTGATGAGAAAATCACTCACTGGTCCTGCCCATCTCCACAGATGAGCTGTCCATGAAAACAATCACAGAGAAGACTCACAGAGTCCTGAAGGTCATGGGTGAGGTCAAGGGGAAGTCCTTATCTAGGGGCTTGGATGGGCACCAGTGAGGAGGATGGGAAGAGGAGACTGGGGAGGCAGAGAGAGTGTAGGTTGGAGGAAGTGATCTGGGAGGTACTGGTGTGAAGGGTGTGGAGGTTAACCCACACTGTTGAGGCCCTGGGCAGTATGTTTGCTCTTTTCCTCCTCAGAGATCAAGAGATCGTTCTCCTCATTCTCTTCATATTGGCGATGGCTTCAAAAGACCAAGTTCCCCGAATACAACAGGGCAGGTATTCATTCACGTGGGGGAGGGATCAAGGAGTGCCAAGGATTTTAGGCAAAGGGGTGTGTGGCTGAGTGCCTCAATTAAATTGCCCCCATCCCTCTTTCTCTTTCATTTCAGCTCTATGTGCTCCTGCTTGCCGTGAGTAGAAAAGGAAAGGGGTAGGAAGACAGGGACCTTCGAGGTACCTGGCAGTTAGCGCAGAGGAAGTAGGTACCTAGCAAGGTGGAGCCAGGGCCTCCCCTCCCCAGCCCATTCCTGCTGTTTCCTGCAGGGGGCAGCACCGTCCTGTACAACTGTTCCACCTGCGAGAGCTTTGAGGTGCTCTGTTGGGCCACAAGGCGCTGCTTTCCAGGTCTTGACACCCCACCCAGATCTCTGAGCCCTTAGGCTCCCAAACACCCACAGGTATAGGATCACTTGCCCAGGATCATTCACACCACCTCTGGGTTCCCTGCAGGAAGTCACGATGTCGCGGAAGCCAAGATTCTGCTGTTCTCTATCTTCACAGCGGCTCTGCTCCTGGGTTTTATGACCTTACTGTGGGAGTGAGTTTAACACTAGAAATAGCCTCCTTACCTCTGACCTGTTTGGTGCCTTTCTCCACCCATCCTTTCTCCCACTTCCTCCCCACCCCTGCCTCCTTCCTTTGCTTTCTCAGGTTTTCCATCCTCTGTCTTCCCTCAGGTCCAGGTTCCTCTAAGCATAACATGACTTGTAAAGATGCTGTCAGCCTCCAGCCTCCAGCGCTGAGGAGCTTGTACCCATGACTTCTACTTCCCTTTGGGGAGTTGGGAGCAGTCAACCCCTTCGTTTCAACCTCAAAGTTTCAGTCCTCCAGATCATGAAGCCCAGATGTCCCCACTATCCCAGTGCTGATGGCCTTCAGGGACTCAGGCACCCACAACTGAAAAGTTCCTCCCCTTCAGCCCTCAACTAATCAGACTGGCAGTTACCAATGCCAGGAAATTATCTACAGAGGAAAAAATCCCCTCCACACACCACTCCCACACCCCCTTCTGTTTGTTCCGGGAAAGCGGAGGCTATGACTGATTGGGAATCCGGGAATGAGCGTTCTGGATAAGTCCTTCCCTCAAGAGTGAGACCACATCAGTGAATCTGCTGGCATGCTCTCCCTCCATTTAACATTGTGAAGCCTTGGCCTCACAGAGCCCTCCCTCCTGCCAGGCCCAACTAAACCTGCTGTCAAATGGCTTCCATTCCTGTCTGGCCTCTTTGTGCAACTGGGAGGGAAGAGGGAGGACGGGAGACTCAGTGTGGCACAGTATTTTTCACTAGGGGTGATTTTGCACCAGGGAGACATTTGACAACATCTGGAGACATTGCTTTTGCTTTGATGGGGGGAATATAAGCTACTGGCATCTGGTGGGTAGACACCAGGGATGCTGCCCAATACCTTGAAATGCTCAAGAGGATCCTCCATCATGAAGAATCACCATGTCTGAAAAGCTGGGCAGTATATGGTTGAGAAATCCTGATGTTTGGTTCCCTGACAGGATTTTTTGATTTGGGACATGAAGAGAAATGGATTTCAGCCTCAAACACAAAGAGGTTTCTCTACAACCACAAGGCTCAGTCCAGGGGCCTTAGCCCAGAAAGGATCCTGACGCTCACCTAAACCAGCGGTTTTCCAACTGGGTACCTGTGGACTTCAGGGCAAGGCTTCTCACATTGTGCACATTCTATACTTTGCAGCTACCTGGGCAGCTGTAAAAATTGGGCCCCTCTCCAGAAATCCCAAATTTAGTAGTCTTGTATGGGGCCTTGATTAATCAAACTTATAGTTAGGGTTAGGGCCACTGCTTTGGGGGTACCGATAAAGATGCTGGGGCTGGGGAGAGGAACACTCTTAGCAGAGAACCTTCCATTTTGTTTTCCAAGTTCTAGTCCAATTGCTCTATTTTCTTTCTAAGATTTTTATTTTTTAATTTATACATTCAAGAGCTGGGATGTAGACCAGAGGTGCAAGGGGAGAGAGAATTCACCAGAGACATAGTGGGGAACAAAACAGGCACATTGAAATACACTGCTGAGGGGAGCAGCAGCAGATGAGACAGGAGAGGTCTGCTGCGGCAGATCCCTGACCCGGGGTCAAACTCATGCCCTAGTACTGCACTCATGCCATAGAAGTTGCAGATAGCTTCATAGTGCTGAGACTTAACCCCTTGCGCCACCAGGGAGGGCCACTATTCCTCTATTTTCTACCAAAAATGTGAGACAGAGAGATTACTCGAGACACATGCAACTCACCTAAGTTCATACAATAACTCGTTCATCCATTCATCAGCCAAATTCTTAGTGAGTGCCCACCAAGTGCCAGTGTTACTGCCCAAACTGGGAGGAGAAACCACACCTTCTATCTGCCCAGGCCCCACAGCTCTCCTCTATTCTGCAGAAGCTGCCTGCTGCCCTCTTATGGTGTACCTCATTGCAGGCTCAACATATTGGAATTGTCCTTGTCCTCACACCCAACATGCAGTAGGTCAACCAACTGTCTCCATTCTCATAGGACCTCTATCCTATCTTCCTTCCTCCTTGCCCTGGTCCCGCAGCCCACTCCAGAACCCTCTCCCTGTGGACCCTAACCTCCCAGACGCCATCTGACCCATCCTTGAAGTCATTTCACCCTTAGTGGCCACATTGGTCTTAAATTTCCACTTTACTCACAATCTCCTGCCCAGCATCAAAAGATAGTTAAGACCGTGGGCTTTGGGGTAGGGCTTATTTCAAATCCTCCTCCTATCTCTTACCAGACCTCGAGCAAGTTATTTTACTTCTCTGTACCTGCTTCCTCATCTTTTAAATGTAGATCACATATTTCTTTGATTCTGTGGCCACTAGGACGATTAGCTGTGTCTACCTGTGTAGTAGCCCGTGTCCACAATGGCTGCCAGTGAAATTCCCTTTCAGGTACTCACAAGATTGCAATTTGCTTTCCTGCTATAAATAAGGCTTGTTTGTGTAATTAATGGGATTTTGCAGAAAGGATGTTGTACAGATTTCAAGTTAGGTCATAAAAGAGAGCCTGGCTTCGGGCTTGTCCCATTGAGTCCATTGCCCTGAGGAAAACCAGCCACCATGTCAGTGGCCCAGGGGGAGAGTGCCACATGTATACAGGGGAGCTGAGGCCTCTTGTCAAAAGCCAACACCAACATGCCCAGCATGTATTGTGCCATCGTGGAAGCTGATCTTCCAACCCCAGTCAAACTTTAGATTTTTCTGCAGCCCTGCATCTTAACTGCACACACAGAAAAACCCACAGAATCCCTGGTTACTCTGTTCCTGAATTTCTGACCTATAGAAATGGGATAGTAAATGTTTATTTTCTTAAACAATTGGGCTCTGGAATTATTTGTTACAGTTGGAATAATTTGTTGCAATAATTTGCTGTAGATAATATAATGTACCCATGTTTAGGACAATGCCTGACACACAGCCTTCTAGTTAGCCATTGTTAACTCCACTGTATAAGCAGGAAGACTGAGGTTCAGGCTGGTGAGGTGGGGTTCCTCATGCACATAACTGCAAGGGGCAGGGCCAGCCATGGTATGAACCCAGGGCTTTTAAGTGCCACATCCTGGGCTCCTTTTTCTGCCCTATTATCCCCATTATTTATTGTTGAACAGTAACACCTGGTGGCATAACCAACTACTTTATTTTGCTCCTGGACTTTGAGAATCAGGAATTGCAACTGACCACTATGTGGATGGTATTTCTCTACTCCATGGTATCTGGGGTCTTGATTGGAAAAACTAAAAGTCTGGGGGTGACATGATAACCAGGGACTGTATTATCATTGACATGTCTGGCAGTAGAGGCTGGCTTTTGGCCAGACCCTCCCTGGGTTGGCCAACTTCACATAGCCTGGGCAACCTGGTAGCACGGTAAATGGGTTCCAGATTGAGCATCTTGAGACACAGAGGGCAGAATAGGCCAATGTCTTTAGTCCTGGCTCAGAAAGTGGCCTGCTATTACTTGTGCCATATTTAATTGGCCAACCAGTCATGAAGGCCAGCTTCAAGGGAAGCTACCTGGACCCTGGGGGAGGAAGGGAGGCACACATCAAAGAAAGTTGGGGCCATTGTTTAAAACCGCCACACCCATTACAGCAGCCCCTGTTTGGTGAGGGACTCAGAAACACTGGCCTGGTCACTGTCTGATGAGTTGACTGTGTGTGCACGGGGAAAAATGAAACCCCCCAGCCTCCTGTGTCAGATGCCCATAGGGCACTTACTTACGTGGGCAGTGTATATCACAAGCAATCAGAGACGGGCCTGGAGTAGACACTTCCTGTAGTCTACCATATGCTGGGAACTGAGGGGGAAAGCTGGACATCTTAAGTAGTGGCTTTACAGGGCAGTGCATGTTGTAGAGGGAAGATGTGTGAAATCACTCCACCACCTCACCAGAAACCCCTAACAAAGGGGGTGTTTATTCTACCTCAAAGGCTCACAGGCTCACAAAAGAGGGCATTCCAGGTGGAAGGACAAGCCTGGGCAAGGGCAAGGAAATAGTGTCTGGGCAACTACAGGTGGTTCAGTATGGCTGGGGGTGGGCAGAACAGAGACATAAAGCTCCAGGGACACGTGAGGGCCAGATTCCAAGAAATACTGTAAGGTTAGATCAGTTACTGAGAAATGTGCTTGTGGTGCAAGAGGAAGAGGATGTCTATGAGCTTGGCCTGAGAGAGCTCACCAAAGGGGGGGGAGGAGGAGGGGGAAGGAAGGTGGATTTGGACCTGCAACACTGGAGATGTCTGTGGGGCATTCAAGTGGAGAATCCAGTTCGATTTGTGTGTGGACAGCTCTGGGCTAAAGGCCAAATAAGAGAGCCTTGAATGTTGGGGTAAATGGCCAGGTCTATATTCTGTAGGCAAGGAAGAGTTAGGGAAGATTTTAAAGTAAGAGATTATAATAGCTAATACTTAATGAGGGCCCATTACATGTTGGACACTCTCCCAAACATTTTATATGAACTTATTTGGACCTCACAGTAATCCTGTAAAATAAGTACTGCGGCATTTCATTGAATTTAAGATATCATCAATTATAATATATACCATTATGCCATGACATGTCTTCAATTTAAGATGGATCCTCCAGAGATGTTAAAATATAAATAGGTATACTCCTACTCAGCTCATCTTGAAGATAAGGAAACAGGTACAGAAACGTCAAATAACTTGCTTATATTTACAGGCTGGTAAGTGGCAAAGCTGGGATTCGAAGTAAGCTCAGGGTCTGGAGGTGCAAGGGGCAAAAGCACAGAAGTGCAGCACAGTGAAGCGCTCAGCAGCCACTGCAGCATGAGTTCGATCCAGATCCCAGGCCAGGGAGCTAAACCACATGTTGCAGCAGACCTCTCCTGTCTCACCTGCTGCTCCACTCAGCAGTGCATTTCAGTAGATCTGCCTGTTCTGCTCCCCATTCTGTCTCTGGTGAGTCCTCTCACTGCTCGCCACCCCTACCCCACTTCTCCAGCCTGTACCTCATAAATAAATAAATCTTTAAAAAAAAACAAAACACAAAGTAAGCCCAGAGGTGAAATCTAAGCTAGTGTTCTGCAGAATCTCTAAATTTCATTGTGAGACTGAAGGAATATGCTGGAAAGCCAACCAATGGATACATTCAAGGAGATGAGCTGGTGACTCAAAAAATTGATGAGGCAAATACAAATTGGGAAAACAAGGGACATCAGGGTCCCAGGAGATGGAGATGGGGTGGTGGAACAGGAGGGGTGACCTAAGCAGTGTCAGATGGGGATGGGTATAGGAGTGGTCTCCCCAGGAGAATGCTCATGGGTTAGGGTTAGAAACTCCTATCCCCATTACTCCCAGCAAAGGAGCACCTCAGCTCAAAAATCTCCTTGGCTTCACTACACAGATAACTGTCTCATCCATTTGTTTAATGAAAGTTACTGGGTAATTATCATAGGAGCCAGGCTACTGGACTGGACATGGGGGCCATCACAATGGCCAGGCAAGATGGAGTCCTTTTCTACCTGGAGTGGGAGTTTAGCAGGGAGGCAGACAAGGTATTGGCAAGTTCTACCAGAGCAATGAGTGCAGTCACAGGCAAATGCAGGCGTCTTGGGGAAGAGACAGGGGGAAGAGACCAGAGTAGTTAGGTATAGGCTTCCTGCATTTATCAAACCAGACTGGGATAAGGGTGAGAAGACCCTCCCAGGCAAATGGAACCGCTACACGAGTTGCAAGGGAAAGAGAGTGAAGATACTGAAGCACTTTCCCCTATTGGGGGTTGATGTGGGTGAGGCAAGAGGGAGAGAGCCCAGTGATCTCAGGGATCAAAGCAGAAAAGGAGGCTATGTTGTTCTAATGTGTTTTGATAGGAACAGAGAGGGTTCTGCTTGGGAATGGGCCGCACCCCACTCCACCCCACATAAATCCAAGGTGGGGGGTGCCTGGGTTCCTGCCCTCTGTTTATCTTCCAAGTTCTCTGCCCTGTAGAGTAAGACTTGGCCCTGATGGTGTGAATGTGCTCATCCTTCTGGGATACAGAGCCTGCGGGGCAGGGCAGAAGCGGAACTAAGACACAGAGAAGGGGCAGCACCCAGCCCGGGCCTCTAGGTTTAAGAGTTACCTGGATGCCCCATCTCACCCAGGAGATGATCCCTTAGGGTGGTTAGGATGGTCATGCTCTCCCATAGTCTACCCTTCTTTGTGGACAAAGGTGGGGATGAGAGAAATTTAACTTCAAAATAGGAACAAAACAAGGAGGAAGGGAGGAATAAAGAGACCCCTGATACCCTGTTTTTGTGTTTAGAGATTTAATTAGTTATGCTTACCAGAACTGGGGTACAGGCCAGAGGTGCAGGGGCTGAGCAGATTCACTGGATACAGAGCTGGAAACAGAACAGACAATTGACTGAAATACACTGCTGAGTGGAGCACAGGAGAGGTCTGCTGGGCCATGTGAGTCAGCTCCCTGGCAGGGATCAAACTCTCGCTGTAGGGGCTGTAGGGTGGCCTCAGAGTGCTGTGCTTTCACCTGTTGTGCCACCAGAGAGGCCCCCTTCCCTGTTTGTTTTTTTCTAAACCAAAGACAAAGGTGAGGCTGAGCCTGGCTTTTAGTTTCCTGTTGAAGTGTAGAGGATCTACAAGAGTTAAATCAACAGCACTCTCTATCTTCAGCCTTCTCTCTACCCCATAGGGAAGGCTTAGACAGGGCCAGTCTCTCTCCGCTGCTCCTAGGAGGCAGGAGAAGCTAGGCCTTCCCTGGGCTCCCTGAGGTTGCTCTCCCAGCTCTTACTGTAGTAGGCTGGTAGTCTCTCCCCTATTTCAAGGCCTTCAGTATCCCCAGAGCCCTCAGGTAGGCCCTAGTGCCTGACTGTCCTGCAGGGCTATGTGGAAGAAATCCCACCAGGACAGGGATTCTCTTCATTCAGTTGGGCCCCAGAACCCAACACAGTGAAAGCTCACTGAATGGAAGATGAATTCATGCCTAGTCTGGCTTCTGCCAAGCTCCCTTGCTGTCCTGCCTTCATATGTGCTCTGCGTGAATGTGTTTATCCAACTCCCAGAGGGCTTCCAGTGCACTCACAGCTGTGAGGAAGCTCAACATTCAGAGGAACATCAGGCTTTACAGGCTGTTCCCTGAGGAAGGTCATGGAGTCATTGTGTTTCCCACCTAGAACTTGGACAACACCAAGATCTCAAAAACAAGTGAGTGAAAGAAGTCAAATGCAAATAGCAGACGCTGTGTCACTCCATTGACAATAAACTCAAGAGAACGGGCCTCCCTTGTAGGGCAAGGGGTTTAGCACAGCACTATGAAGTTATCTGCAGCCACTGCAGCATGGTCCCTGGCCAGGGAGATGCCCCACATGGCGCAACAGACCTCTCCTGCCTCGCCCGCTGCCCCCTCAGCAGCATGTTTTAGTCAGTCTGCCTGTTCTGCTGAGTCTGTTTCTGGTGAATCCTCTCTTAGCCCTGTAACTCTGGACTGTAACCCAGTTCTTGTATACATAAATAAATAAATAAATCTTTTTTTTAAACTCTAAAAAAGTAAGGTAAAGAGAAGGCAAAATTGATCTGTGAATTTTAGAAATCAGAAGAGCAGTTACTTCTGGGGAACGAGACTCACTAAAAATGGGTACAAGGCCACTTTCTGGGATTACAGACACATTCTGAGTCATATCTGAGCTCATGGATATGTACACTTGTTGAGATGTATTGAGCTACAGAGTTAAATATGTGTGTTAGTTACTGAATATAAACAGTACCTCAGTAAACATACCTCTATGTCAGCTAGAAAGTAGCATGAATATGAATTTAACAATGACAAAAAAAAATCCCTGTGTGTGGATTAAATAGCACATCTGACATAACCAAGGATTTAGCTCTGACAGCCACTTCTGCCTTTGCCAGGTGAGGATCCAGACCCTGGTTGGGGGGGAGATGAGGGGATAACACCTGTGGTTGGCAGATCAGCTGTTGTTTGGGGTGTTGAGCCTACTCACCTCCCTTCCCTTCTCCCTCCCTCAGCCCTTCCCTTCAGCATTCTCTCCTGCCCTCCCCTTCTTACCTTTCAAAGAACTAGAAGATAAATCTGAAGAGATTACCTGCATTGCATCATGAAAACACCAAGAATAGAAAATATGGAGGAGAGGTTAAAGGATATGGAGGACAGAGCAAAGAACTCTAGCATACTTCTAATCAGAGTTCCCAAAGGAGAGTTCTCCATTGTCACAAATGGAGAAAGAGGAATATTTGAAGAGACAATTGACTGAGACTATCCCAAAACTGATAAGAGATAGAAATTCAGAGCTATAGAAACTACAGTACGCTGTGCAGATGAAATAAAAAAGGAGTTCATGCCTAGGTTCTTTAGGACTATGAAGCACCAATATCTTAAAAGCCAAGAGAAAAAACAAATCACCTGTAAAAGAATGACAATTAGATGGAGCATATTTCATCACAACCAGTATGTATTGGTTATATTATGTGACATACCTACACTATCCCATGTACAAAGAACTCAAGGATGAACAAGACAGGTCCAACCCTTACCCCAGGGGAGCCTATAGTAAATCAGGGATAACAAAGAGGAGGGAGCAGGGTGCCCTGAGGGAGGCATTTATAGCTGGCCTGGTTGGAGGGCAGGAAAAGTGGCAAGAAAGAAAAAACACAGGTAGAACTGTGAGTATGAAGAGTTTTCTATCAAAGTTGGAACAGCTCATGTATTAGCCAGGTTGGGGCTCTAGCTGCTATGCCCATCCATCCTTCCTGGGGACAGAGGGTGCGTCCTGAGACTGATGGCATCCTCCCTGGGACTGTGATCCAAGGGAGAGAGTAGGCTCCTCTTTAGGGCCTTCTTCAAGGTTCCACACGGTTTTTGTAGCCACAGAGCAAAACAGCATTGAGCCCTGGGCCAGCAGAGGCTTCATGGGTAAAACAGGATTCTGGCCAGGCAGCACCAGTGATGGGGAGCGTGCCCTCAGGCATGGGTTGGCTGCCCTAGGTCAACAGTGACAAATCAGGAGGAGGCTGAGGAATCTTTCAGAAGCTCTGTAAACCCACCTCCTCCACAGCCACCCCGGGGAGAGCCCCAAAGACTCTTTTCAGGGCTTCACTTGGAGTTGAAAATTAGAGCTGGAAAAGGACAGCTGCTTATCAACACCTCGCTGGCCTGACTACCCCCAGGCCTTCCACCGGGAGTGCTAGAAGCTCCCCCCAGCCAGGGGCAAAGACTGTGTCCCCTGAGTCTCACATTCCCAGTGCCAGGCAGGATGTCGCTATCAGGTGCTTATTCACGTAAGGGGTGGGGCTCGGGTTGAGAGGTTGAAGGGTTTGGTGAGGAAGGGGGTGGCGGACAGCACACAGAAGAGAAGTCTGGAGAGGGCTGGAAAGTTCTTTGGAGAAGGCAGATGAGCAAAGAATAGAGAAAGGGGGCTTCCCGCTCTGGCCCAGCAGAGTGAGACGCCTTCCTCAGCCTCACCTCGGCCCACCAGCCCCGGGCCAGTGGCCAGGTCCCGCCCTCCGCGCCTCGGCCCGCCCTTCCCGGGATTTAGCCCCGGCAGCCCAGGGCGGCTACGCAGCAGCCGCTTCCGCCTTCGCCAGGTGAGGGTCCAGACCCGGGACAGAGGTGGGGCCCGGGGGTGCTGGAGGAGCAGCTGTTGCTTGGGGTGCGTCCGGGGGTGCTAAGCCTGCTTGCCTCCCTTCCCTTCTCTCCCTCGGCCCTTCCCTTCTGCGTTCTCTCCTGACCTTCCCCTTCTCACCTTGCAAGCGGTCAGGAAATCCTCCGTCCCGGGCTTTCTCTTTCCCCGCCCCTGCTCCCGCCCCACTCCTAGCCCACCTGCAGATTGCCCCTGGGTTCAGCCTAGGGTCCTCTGCCCCTTCCTGGTCTGAGTGGGAGAAAGGGGTCTAGGTGTGTGAGAAAGAGTGTGCAGGTGAGCAGTTCCCAGACCACCTGGAGCTTTAGTTAGTTAATAAAGATTGGTGGAGTTCCCTTGAAGCCAAGTTTGACTGCCTGACTCAGGTGTGTGGGCAGAGTGCGGTACCTGAGCTGAGCTTAGGTGGGTGTGAACAGGAATGTACACCTGGCAGCTTAGGTGACTCTATCTATGGGCAGTACCTGAGCTTAGTGTGGCCTGAACTTAACTGCTAGTCACAATGGTCAATTTGATTTCGAAAGTTGCTACCTTGGGCGTAAAGACCCTGGGATCTCTGGGGCCTTTGTAACTCAGGTTTATGGACACTGTACTTCACATCGTTTGTGTGGACCTTGGCATCTCAGCTGTGTGCGGCAGTCTGTGTGGAAGGTAGTGAACTGCCTTGGCTCAAGTACACACACCGGAGAGGGTGTGTGCAGACTGCCTGGGCACTTCATGACAGCATACTGAAATGCCTCCGATTTGAGAAGACATGTATCTAAGAAACTCAGGCATTGTTACAGCATATCTGTAGCTGTGTGTGTGTGTGAGAGGGGCCATGTATTTGGGTGTGGGAACAGTACACCTTTGCGTGCATCTGTATGTTTGCAGGTATCGTGCATGTGGTGGATGGAAATGTCTCGTGTATGGGGAGGTGGGTTCTGATGTGTCCCTCCGACACACAGTTGACCCCTGAGCAACATGGATTTGAACAGAATCCACATTTTTTTCTATCATTAGTTCAGCATTTATGGATTCAAACATCTTGGCTGTCACTTGGTTGAACCAGCAGATGTAGAAACACAGATTATCATACAGAGGGCTCTGATGCAGATGGCCCAACACTTGGTACTCATGGAGTCCTGAAGCCAATTTCCCTTTGATACCAAGAGACAACAGTAGTTAATTTTCTGAGGTGCCAGAAGTCATACTTGAATTTTCCTGGCTCTGATGTGTCTAGTGACATAACTGGCGTGTGTCTCAGATGCCTACCCTGGGCTTGTGTCTGTTGGGGAATGTCATCCTTAGGGGTTTCTTCTGCAGACATGCTTCCTGAGGCGGGCTCACCATGGCTGCTGAGGATGCTCCGAGACCTTCAGCTGGCCCAGTTTTACCGACCCATCCTCGAGGAGCTGAATGTTACTCGGCCAGAACATTTCGACTTTGTAAGGCCTGAGGACCTGGATGGCATTGGCATGGGCCGGCCTGGTGAGGGATCTCCTTTCCCAGCCTCTCGTCTCCACCCCAGCCCAGCCTTCTTCTTGCCTTTAGATCACTCTGCATCCTGCTCCCTCTCATCCCCATCCCCCACCCCCACCCCATACTACCCCAGTCCTCTGATTCTGGTCTCCCCCAGCACAGCGCAGACTGGCTGAGGCGCTGAAGAGACACCGTTCAGGGCTCAAGTCTAAGAACTGGGTCTACAAGGTATGTGTTTGGGGCAGGGGTGAAGGACTTCGAGGACCAGCTTAGAAGCAGGAATGGGGTGGGCTGTGGAGGGCTCCTCACACTTGAATTCCCACCCATTACAGATCCTTGGGGGTTTTGCCCATGAGCAGAAGGAGAACACTCCAATCTCAGACAGCCCCGTGACCCTCCCTGAGCCTGAGGGGGGACTCAAGTGTCTGATCCCAGATGGTGCTGTGTGTAGAGGGGAGCTGCTAGGTTCCGGCTGCTTTGGTGTAGTGCACCGAGGACTGTGGACACTGCCTAGTGGCCAGAGCGTAAGTGTCCAAGGACGCCCCCCCCAACACCACCCCTTCTGTGTGCCCTCTCTGCTCTGGTCCCCACATAGCTGTTCTCTAGGGTGCCTGACAGAGTTTCCCTGACCTCCAGGTCCCTGTGGCTGTCAAGTCCCTTCGGGTGGGCCCAGAAGGCCCTGTAGGCACAGAGCTGGGGGACTTTCTTCGAGAGGTGTCAGTCATGATGAACTTGGAGCACCCACACGTGCTGCGTCTGCATGGCCTTGTACTAGGCCAGCCCCTGCAGATGGTGAGCAGACCCTGAGGCTGGCTCCCAGCCCACCTCGGGCACGGAGGACAGGAACTGGTGGGCAGCCAGAGGGTGGGTGCGGAGTCCTGTGGGGCCCGTCGCTGCTCACGTGTGCGGTGCTGTGCTCTCTGCAGGTGATGGAGCTGGCACCACTGGGGTCCCTGCACGCCCGCCTGACGGCCCCTGCACCCCCACTGCCCGTGGCCCTGCTTTGCCTCTTCCTGCGGCAACTGGCTGGAGCCATGGCATATCTGGGGTCCCGTGGGCTGGTGCATCGAGACCTCGCTACGCGCAACCTGCTGCTGGCTTCACAGCGCACAATCAAGGTGGCAGACTTCGGCCTGGTTCGACCACTGCGCGGCTCCCAGGGCCGCTACGTCATGGGTGGGCCCCGCCCCATCCCCTTTGCTTGGTGAGGGGTGGGGTTGGCAGGTGGGCTGTGGGGGTAGGAGTGGGGTCCAGAGGGCCTTAGAGGTGCGGAGGGGGCGGGGCTGGGATTGGAGGAGTGTTCAGGTAAAGAATAGCTTGTAAATGAAGACCTGGCTTGGAAAGGACCACGTGGCTGTGCTGGCAGGCACCGGGCACTCTCGCAAGCTCTTCACCTCCACTTCCACAGGTGCGCACCAGAGAGCCTGCGCCATGGGGCCTTCTCTTCTGCCTCGGATGTATGGATGTTTGGGGTGACGCTGTGGGAGATGTTCTCTGGGGGTGAGGAGCCCTGGGCAGGGGTCCCACCCTACCTCATCCTGCATCGGCTGGAAAAGGACCGAGCTCGCCTCCCTAGGCCTTCCCTCTGCTCCAGAGCCCTTTATGGTCTCGCCTGGCGCTGCTGGGCTCCCCACCCTGCTGATCGTCCTAGCTTTTCCTGCCTGGAGGAGCTGCTCCAAGAGGTAGGAACCGGTTTCCTCATACACATTCAGTCTTTCTCCCTGTCCCACCCCCTGCACACCCCCCTGCCTTCTCTCTCCCATGGTTCCATACACAAGACAAACCAACTTCTGGCCTGGCATAGAGGATCCAGCTTTAAACAAAACAGATCAGTCCTTCCTTAACTGAAGGGCAGGAGAGCCCTGGGAAGGCACCTTGGGATTACACAGATACAGGTAGAAGGGTGGGGACTGGGCTGGGTCCAAGAAGGAGGAGCAAAGAGCAGTAGATTGCAGTGGGTGTTTGACAGGCAGAAGACAAGTCAGTGTGGGAGGGGAAAATACACTAACCAAGGTGGCAGTACACACGGGCTGCTCTGTGGAGAGATTTGTAAGGCATGATGAATAACCAGAGCTGACATGGAGAACACCTGATCTGCGAAACATACCGTGTTGCTCTTTTCCACATATCCTTATCCACTCACTTAAGCCTGACAGTTGAGGTCATTATCTCCATTGCACAGACGGGGCACTGGCAGTTTAAGTGACTTATCAGAAGTCAGACAGTAAGTGGAGAAGTTGGGATTTGAACCAATTTGACTTCAGAGTTCTTTACTAAAGCACTACCCAGACTGTTGAGGTTCTTTAGTCTTTACCTGGGAGCCGTGGAAGGGCTGTGAGCAGGGGAGTTACAAGCAGCCTGCTCTGCATGTTATATTGCTTTGGCTTGGTGCAAGAATGGATCCAAGGGCTGCTGCTAGCATGGGAAAGCTAGGTAAGCCGCAGTGGCTGTGAAGCAGAAGTGGGATGAAGAGACCTGGATGAGGGTGAGGCAGTGGGGCTGGGGAGAAATGGAAGGGTGCTTGATGGGCCCAGGCATGCAGTAAATGCAGTTTATAGAACGACTCTCCCCTTGGTCCCCCTAGGCAGAGACAGAGCCCCCCCTTTGTTGCTCCCTGACCCCTGGGCTGGGTCCAGCTTGGCATGGAATCCAGGTCTGCCTCCCCTACAACTGGGGGACAGGGACATTCCCACTCTGGGCACAGGGCTGAGGACACCTGGTATGGTTTGGCTGGTGGGTGCCTAAAGTGGAGTCTCCTTTTTTCCCTGCTCCCACCAACATTACCCTTCTGACTCAGGCCGCAAATCTAGCCACCTTTCCTCCTGTCTCTACAGGCCTGGCCTCCTGAGGGACGTTGTGTGAGGGATGTTACAGAGCCAGGAGCCCTGAGGATGGAGCCTGGTGACCCCATCACCATCATTGAGGGCAGGTGAGAGCCACATACCATTTTACGAACCTTCCTGAGCCTGGACTGCTCTCCTGTCTCTAGATTCTTGAACCATGATCATCTTCCTTATCTCTTCTCCTTGCTGGACCACCACTAACCCTTAAGGTCCTTTTGTATTAGTGAGAAAAAGGCTTTCCTTCCTGCAAGTAGAACCAGCTTGTGAGCTGAATGTGGGCCAGAGCCGGACCCCATCCCCCCACATTTGCTCCCACACCATTCACCAGCACCTCTTCCCACAGTCCTGACTCCACAACCTGGAAGGGGCAGAATGGTCGCACATTCAAAGTGGGCAACTTCCCAGCCTCAGCAGTAACTCTGGCAGATGCAGGGAGTTCACCAGCCACCCGCCCTAACCACAGAAGTGCTCCTGCCCAGGGAGAACGACATCCGGGAAGCATAGATGGGTGAGGACCTGCAAGAATAGGGGACAGGGCTGGGTTGGGGGAACCAACCAAGTCCAGCAACTTCTCTGGATGAAAAGCTTGAGGGAGGGAGTGGGAGAATCTGGTGAGGTAGCTGGATTGCCTCCCAGCTGAAGCTTCACACTGGGTGTGTCTGCCTGGGAACTAACATACTGGGTGTGTCTGTCTGAGGGATTCTTTGGGAAGGGCCATGGATATGTGGGGTGGGGGGACGTGGTGCTATGGAGAATGAACTGGATCACTCTCCACCAGGGACAGAGTGAAGGCAAAGCTCCGGGATACACCTCCAGCACGGGGTCAGAGAAGAAACATACCCCTGCAGAGGATGAGAGGTGAATAGGGGCCGGGGGGTTGGGGACAGGGCCTGAGGAGATCAAGAGCACAACCCTCCAAGTCTGTCCCCTGCTCCGAATCCATGCTTTGGCAGATAGGATGTCCCACAGTTCCATTCTCTACAGTCTGCCTGTTGACATCCTAGCAAAACTTTTTTATGATCTGTCTTGGCTATTGAGCAGCATCTCTCATGCTCTCAGTTCTCTGGGCCCTCAGCTGCCTGGTCCTAGGTGTTCATTCTATACCCCTGTATTAGTGTCCTCCAACACAAGGACCACCCTGAGGATAGCACCGATAGAACAGGAAGGCAGGGCTACCATGAGCTCCCTCTCAAGTTTTTTCTTTCTCAATCATGCAGGCATTTCTAAGAGCTTGGAGTCTGTTCTGTCCCTGGGACCCCGTCCCACAGGGGGTGGTTCGAGCCCCCCTGAACTTCGACATGCCAGAGCTGTGCCCCAGGGACCTCCAGGCCTGCCATCCCGTCCTCCCTTTGCCTCCAGCTCTTCTTGTCAGACCAGCCAGCCCTCCAGGGAACGATCTCCCTGGCCCAAAAGAGAGCCCGCCCACAATCAGCACACAGGAACACCTAGAACCAATAAAGTCACCGCTCCTTCTGGAGGCCTTTTGTCTGACCCTGAGTTACAAAGGAGGATTATAGAGGTAAGGTCTCTCTGAAGTGGCCTGGGGGTCAAAGGGGGCTACTGGCTGAGGTAGGGGCCTAAACAAGACTTTGTCCCTGCAGATGGAGCGGAGTGTGCATGGAGTCACACACCAGGAGTGCCAAGAAGCACTAAGAGCCACTGGGGGGGATGTGGTTTCTGCCATCCGGAACCTCAAGGTAAAGCCAGACACCTTTCTCTCAAGTTCCTTCCTCCTCCACCCCTGTGCTCTGGCAGTCAGCTGCCCTCCCTCCTGCCTCTGCAGGTGGACCAGCTCTTTCACCTGAGTAGCAGGTCCAGAGCTGACTGCCGGCGCATCTTGGAGCATTACCAGTGGGACCTCTCAGCTGCCAGTCGCTACGTTCTGGCCCGGCCCTGAGCTCTGCACCTTGAGCATGGACCAGTATGGAAAGCCTGTCCCCTCAAGGCCTGGCCACATGGGACCAAGCAGAACCAGGGCAAGGTCCTGACGAGGAGACCTTCTTACCTGGGGAAACCTTACTACAGACAGGTCCAGGAGTTCAGGAGTAGGCACTGATGCCCTTCCCCCTTGGCCTCTGAGGGCTCAAGCTCCCTTGGGTGGATCATAGAAGGATCTAGTCCACTTTACCCACCACATTCCCAAACAGGAGGACTCATACAGGAAGCTTCTGCTCACTACAGAGAATGATCAAGTGGCCAAAATAAATCATGGGTACAGCCTTCCTGAACAGCCTTCCTGAGCTGCCCCACTGTACTCTGGGAGCAAGCCATCTGGAATGAGGGAAGCAGCCCTTCTGACAGAGCGCATGGCCCAAATGCCTTGACTTGGTGTGGGCCACTGTGGGTGACTGAAAGTTGCCTTTTTGGACTCAAGGACACATGGTCTTAGTAGGATGAATGACGAAATGGGCCAAGTCCCACTCAGTTCAGCTGTAATATTTCCCTTTGTTCCTTTACCACATCAGCTCTTTTTTCCTACCCTCCCCTATTACATACATCTTCCAATGTCCAAAAAATTATAAAGTTTATATGAATATATCATACAAAGATGCAGCCTCCTTCCTGGGGCAAGGGAAGGAAGTAGTGGTTAAGTAAGGCACAGGAAGCTGCGCAAGCACCAGCTGTAGGAAGGGCTCAAAGGGGGAGGGGAGGTTGGCACTGGGAACTGATTGGGCTCTACAGCTGTTGGGCAAGTGGGGATTCCCTTAGAGTGCCATGGTCTCAGGCTGAACTAGTTGGCTAAGCTGATGTTAAGGAAGGGTGGCCATGTGCCATCTTTGGTGAGGCTACCTTTCCCCACTACAGCCCTGTCATAAAACCACAGAGCCCTAAATTCCAAAGGTGTTCTTTGGAGCAGAGGCCCTGGAAGGGGGTGGGATGAAGGGAACTGGGAAAGTCTGAAAGCCAATATGCTTGGGTGCTGAGGACTCCCAGAGACAGTGGTAGGAAGCAGCAGGGGAAGGCTTTCATACATACCCTCTGTGGGGCTACAGGTGAAGCAGGCCAGGGGAGTAAGACAGGGATGGGGCATATAGCCCCCAGGCCTCAGGCATCCCTGTCTGTCCCCTGCAGTGTACATAGAGGAGAGGGGCTGCCTCTGAGGGGTCAGGCCAGGGCAGGCAACCATCTTGAATTCTGGTTGAGGCGATGGGCTCCTCCCTGGAGGTGGTCTCTAACTGCTGATGGCAGAAGGCCTAACACCTCCTTGGTTCTCGAAGAACATGTAGTCCTGTGGGGAGGGTATTGTTAACAGGAGACCTGACTGGGCAGTCTGGAACTGCAACCCCCACAAAGTCTATACCTAACACTCCCCTAGCTCCAGGAGGCCAGGAAGGAGAGGTAGGGACAGCCGACTCACAATGAGAAATGTGGCTCCCAGCAGCACAGCCTTCACCCTCACATCCAGATCTAGTGGGAACTGCAGGCCAAAGTCATCTGCATCTGTGATGGCTTCTCGGAGCAGCCCTCCCCACTGCTTGCTGATGCGGCCCACACTGCGGGATTCATCTGGAGTCTTCACCTGTTGGGAGGGAGGAAGAAAGGAAGAACTTAACTGGGGGGAACATGGCTACTTTTACCTCCTTCCAATTTCCCACAGTCACCAGGTATGAACTGCAGGCTCTACACTCGGTGAACCCTCCCTATAGCCTTGGGTTCCATGTGACATCTGGAGAAACTGAGGCATCCTCAGTCTATATGAGTATAGAGCAGAAATCAGGATTCAGACTCAGGGCTACTGTTCTTGAAAAAGTCATACCCGGTAACCGAACATCCGTGGTGGGAGAACTGGAACTACAGCATTGTCTAATTTCCTTAGTGCATGGTCGCTTGCTAGGTTGGTTTTAGTTACCAAAGTCCCTATTATTGCATCGGGCCAGTTTGTGCCCTATAAAGACCAGGTTGACCCAAAGGACAACAGACATTGCCAAAATACTGTTTGCAGACTACAGTCCGACCAGATTCCTAGAAGCCTGCGTGTGCCCAAAGAGGGGACTTTCTTCCAATATGCAAAGTAGGAAGGGTCCTGTCCAGCACTGCATATATAAGCCTCACCTAGAGGGAACCCAAGCCCATCTGTTGGGGAGAGGGGACAGATAGTAAATGGCCTCTAATTACTGTGGTCTCCGCTGGCCTCTCTTTGGGCCCAGCATCAACAGGCCTTGGTGATGTGGTTGGTAATTCATAGTGATTTCCTCTCCTACGCTAATTTTCCAGTGGTTAGAGTGATTTTCTTTGCTATCCTTCCCATTCCCTTCCCCTGCTGTCCAACAGCTCTCCAGCACTTCCTATAGACCAGTCCTAGGTTAGATAAAGTCTCTCCCAACCAGCCATGAAGTCCCAAGAGTGCAGCCCCAAACACAGACCATTTACAGTTATATAAATGGGAGCCGGGCCCTATGAGAACCCCACAGTCTGCATATTCCCATCCAGATCCCATCAGAGAACCTCCTCCCAGGCACAAAGGTGACTCAGTTTTTAAAAGTAACCATGGGTAGGGCAATTCATCAGTAGCCTGGGAAGGTCTACTGGATTACACCTGTTTCTGCCTTATCTGCACAGATAATTATCCCTTAAAAAATTCAAGGGTCTGTGAAGTGTTTGTCTTCTAGAAACAAAGGTGAGTCCCAGGTCTCACCCTGAAACTCTCACCTCTTAGGTTGTCCAGGTTCCAGGTTGGTGACAGGAGGCACTGTGACAAGGATTTCACCTAGATTTCTGGTTGGAGAGGCCATTTGGTCTCTAAATTGGCAGAGCAAGCCACATGATGTTATTTTAGTGCTTGCTCTAGGGCCTGGGCTCCCAAACTCTTGCATGGCAGCCACCTGGGCCCAGGCCACAAGAAACTCAATAATCGTCTTTCACCCTAAATCCTAACCTTAGATGTTTTGCCCCCTCAATGCAAGACTGCAGGTAACAACCAGAATTGGTGCTTAAGAGGAAACCCTCTGTGCCCTGCTTTTATAAGACCACTGGCCATCCTATTTCTGAATAGAGGAAAACTGAAAATGTGGTGGGAGTCACAGAGGATTAGAATTGATGCGCTCAGGGTCTTGATCTTAGTGTTGACCATCCTGCCTCATGAAACATCTTGATTTATGAAGGTCCCAGGAATCCTCTGCTACTCCTGATACCTCAAAGTTGGTGTCTGTGCCACAGCCACAGGTCCAGCAGGGCCCTACCACTCGCAGGACAGTCTGGCGATCTGCATCCTGGATGGAGAACTTGGGGAGGAAGGGATGCCAGGTCTGCAGCACATGGCCAATGGTGGTGCCGGGGGGAGCCTGTACTTCCATCTGGAATAAGAAGCAGACAGGGTCACCGCCCAAACAGAGGACCCTGGCCCAAGCGCTCCCCAGTCCAGCTCTATCACTTATTTCCCTTTGGAACACCTTCTGTTCCCTTCACTAGCCAATCTGCCACCCCCTCACTAGCTCTCGCATGCCATCTGCCCACTCCCACTGGAGCCTTGCCCTAGGTCCCACCCCCACTGCATCAGTCCCTCTACCCCAGTCTCTCCTTGACTCAGTCCATCCCTACTCACCTCCTGAAGGCCACATGGGCAGCAGCTACAGCCACAGTGAAGGGGGCGGAGCAGGCGCAGGACCTCTCGGTCCCCGGGGTCCACCAGACGGACACGAAGTGGTCGGTTGGCACCACAGCACAGACGGGCACAGCAGTTGCTTTCCTCAGCTGCCTGAGCCAGAGGCTGTCCAGTCCCTGAGCGCAGTTCATACCGGTTACAGGTCTCCCAACCCAGGAATGCTGCCAAAGGGTGACACATAGATGCTCAGATACATATCCACACCTGCCTGGGAATCCACTATCCATGTCCCCTTCATCCTGCCCAACCTACTTTCAACTGGCTCAATTTTCTGATGAACCAAGATCTGATCAATCTGAAATGAGAGTAGAGATAGGGGCCGTTTCAGTTGGCCAACTTGAACTCCATGGTCCCCTTCCTTTCACTCTTCCCTCCTCTCCCACTCACCTGCACCAGAAACTCGAGGCCAGAAGGCACCCCAGGCAGTGGCAAGAACGGGGCAGCAGGCCCTGGAGCTCCGGGGCCGGCTGAGGGAAAGAGAGCAAAGCCTGGTGCAGGGGCAGGCACGTGGGCGGGCAGTGTCGCCTGCCCGGGCCCAGGATGCGGTGATGGCTCCGGATACCCAGCGGTTACAGGGTAGGGAGGTGGGGGTGAAGGGGCGTAGCCTTTGGGGGGTAAGTAGCCTGTGAAGGGACAAGGGTAGATTAGAAAGGCACCCAAAGGCTCGTCCTCTTACCCTCTAGCACACGGATCGGATCAAGAAACTAAGGGGGTAAATGTCAAGGGAAGAGACTGAGAATAATGGGGCGGGGGAGCAGGGCGGCGGCACCCAGGGAGGAAGGGAGGGGCCCCATACAGCCAGTCGGAGCACATTCCCGGAAAATGTGTTCCACACGGGCTCCCAAATCCGTGGCGGGGGTGGGGGTGTGTGGGAGTGGATAACGGAGACCCTTAGCATTGAGCCCACTCACCTGCCATGGGAAAGTGGTTCGGGTTCGCGGGATGTCGGCGTCCAGGAAGCTTAGTTCTAGAAGTGTGGGCAAGCCCGGAGACAGCCAGACACACACAAAGACAGACACAAAGACAGGCAAACGCCGCGAAGCAGCTGCGCCTGGCACCGACCCAGGGTCTCTTGGGTGGCGCCTCTGACTCGGGGAGAAACCGAAAAGTGTCAGCGGACTGGGAGGAGTAACTGGGACCCTGGAGTCCCACAGGGGCCCCAGAACCGCCCCCTCCCTTTGTTTTCCCATTTTCCGCGGAGGCGGCAGTTGGCGGAAGGCTGGACAGTTTACCCGTAGTCAGATCAACGACCCGACCTCGAGAGAGGTCTTCTGACCCCTCTGGGCTCCCCACTCCAGCTCACCTGAAGCCCCTAGAATAGTCTGGTGCCCAGCCCACCGCGGCTCCCAGGATCTAGTGGAGGCGGGCCCAGAACTAGCCCCGCCCCCTTCGACGCGTCAAGGCCCGCCCCTCCCAATCCGGGCGGCGCGCCTGCGCAGAAAGAATACCGGTCCTCCGGCTGGGCCTCGAAAACTGGACCACCAGCTCCTAGGTGTCGCCGACGTCCCGCCCCTTCCGCTCCGAGTCGAGAGCCCAAAGAGGAAGCGTTCCCGGGCCAGGCAGCCGGCTGAGACCTGCCCCTGCGACACCTGCGACGTCCGCAGGCGCCGGGTGCTTAGTGTCCCTGGGTGGGAAGCCGGCGCGCTGGAGGACCCCAGGCTCCTCCTCCGAGGGCGGTTCGGGCCTCGCTGACGCAGAGGAACACCCTTTGCGCTCAGGCTTTGCCTTCTAGGACTGGCTCCTGGCTCCCTTTATCTCCCTGACGCAGCAGTGACCCCCACATACGCCTTGCAATTATGGTGCTTCCCTCATTTCCCCTCCACGGAAGCAGGCCTAAGACAAAGCCACCAATGAGTGTGTGAATGAAGTGAGGCTCAGTGCGGGCCACAAGAGGCAACGTGGTCAGAAGGAAACGCTTCCCTCAGAATCACTTTGTTCGGTCCTGACCTAAAGCCCACAAGTATGAAGTCCTGGGCCTTGAGGGTCTATCGGCTGAATGAGTAGAGAGAGGTTAAGAGAGGGAGGCTGGCCCAAGTGCTCCTGGAAGCTGGAAGCCCACTGAAAGATTTTAAGGCTGAGGGAGATTTAATTTGTGTTAGATTGGACCATTTAAACTGCAATGGGGGGGGGGGGAGGAGCCAGGCTGGAGCCAGTCTGGGGGAAAAGAACTCTGGTAGAGCAGATGAACAAATTTGGCAGATTTTGTAACTATTTAGACAATAATATAGGATTGGGGTGTGAGATGTGGTGGTGAGACCACTGCATGACCCCGGATGCCTGTGATTAGGCAAATCAAGTGTCACCCATCAAGATAGCATGGTGAGAAGCAGATTTGTGAACTCCTTTACTACTATGCATGTTTCCTGGAGTTGGTCAGTCCTGCAGCTTCAGGCCATAGGAGTGATAGTGCTGTGACTTAATCTCTAGGCCACCAGGGAGCCCCTCAAATGATCTTTTTAAAGGGTCTTCACTGCTGGAATCAGTTTCTGTAGGTACAATAACTTATTTCTGAAAATTGGACAAAAGAATGAATTACAGTTAACCAAGGTGCTACCTCTTGAGATTACTTCTTCACTCAACTTCATTTTCTGCTAACTTGCAGGGACACTGCTGAGAACACTGGATACTTGTGCAGTAGTAGCAGGGACTAGTTATCAAATAGGTCTCATTCATCTTGTCTACCCAAGAGCCCAGCCCACTGGCAGGCCAAAAGCAAAGGTTTAGAAGGGTGGTCATTCCAGATGCCTAGCTCTGCTCTAACCTGGATTCCCTAGGCTCCAGATACTGCCGAAGATAAAGGATGGACATACAGCAAGAATACTGAGCTACAGGAAAGAATTCTGGGGACCTAGAAATGGCTCTGCCACTGACACTTGGGATGCTCTGATCTTATTTACTTGTCTTTAAAATGAGGAAATATTACAATCCTCTATTAATAGACCTGAAGTCATGTCTCCTGTCTGGATATAAAATGCTTCAGTGGCTCTCCATTGCCCTCTGAAGAGTTATACCTCTCTCAGCTCCAGGCACTTGACCCTTCACCCTGAACTACTATCCTCATCTTTCAGTATTGACCCTCTAATCTTCAAATCAGCCACCAGGAATTATTTCAGGTCTCAAATGCACTGGGCTTCTCTTGCTCTAGGGTTGCCTCAAAAGCTCTTGCCTCCCTCGTGTCTTCCCTGAACACTATTACGGTGCAACTGCTACAGGAGTCAGGATAGGGTGGGACATAGAAATTCTGGACTTAAAAGTATGCAGATTGTATTTAAAGGTATGGAACTGAACAGGTTACATAGAACTCCTTAGATAAATGGCATGCACTTTTTTGTATGTAGAATTCAGAAAAATTATGTACCTCTAATATATTATGTACTATATATGAAATATATGTATAGATATGTACTTTGAAAAACGTACAAGTTTAAAAGGGTGAAATTAAAATTTTTTTCATTAAGAATGGAAATCATTGTTTCAGCTTACTAAAGAGGTTGGCAAAACAATCGCAGAAGTAGGAAAAAAAGGGAATGCTGTCATAAAGCAATGTGATGTATTTTGAGGACAGTGTGGCCAATTGTGTCAACTGCTATAAGGAGGCCAAGGAAGCTGAGCTTAAAAATCATCAGGTGGGTTTGGCAACCAGGAGACCATAGTGATTCATCACATGGGGAAGAGATGTGATAGAAATTGACCAGAATGGGTTGCATATCTGAGTCTCAATTTATCTCCCGAGCTCGGAAACTTTCTTGAGCTCCCCAACTATCTGCTTGGTGTCTCCTGGGCATTTCAGAAGCAAAAAGGCCAAAACTGACTCCATTTAACCAGATCCATAAAGCTGAGATCTTTCTTGTTCACCCTTTACATCATATCCATCAGCAAGTCCCATCATATCCATCAGCAAGTCCTATCTGCACTGTCTTTAAAATATTTTCAAATTGCACCTTTTTCACCATCTCTTCCACCCTAAGCAAAGCTGCTATCAAAGTTTCACACCTGGTCTTCTTTGGTGGCCTTCTCATGGATAGCCTGTTGTCATTTATGCCTTTTTTTTTTTTTTTTAAAGATTTACTTATGCATACAAGAACTGGGGTACAGGATAGAGGTGCTGGGGATGAGAGGATTCACCAGAGACAGCACAGGGAACAGAACAAGCGGATCCACTGAGATATACACTGCTGAGGGGAGCAGCCAGTGGGCCAGGAGAGGTCTGCTGCACATTGTGGTCCAGCTTGCAGCGGTTGCTGATGGCTTCATAGTGAGGCCCCCTGATTCTCCAGATCTTTTAAATGAGGTAAAAAAGACCCTAGCACTCTCACTTTAAGTGCTTGAATGTCTTACTGTTGCACTGCAAATAAATTCTGAGTGTCTAACCACTGCCTTAAAGGCCTTCACGGGCCATCCTGGACTCCCTGATCACATGTCAGTCATATTGGCTCTACTTTCTCCAGCTCTCCAAATTTTCTCCCACCTCTAGGATTTTGAACTGCTCCTTTTTTGTCTGTTTTACCAGCTATTCATTCTACCTAGATTATATTTTCTCTCTACTTTGTGCATATTTAGCTCTAGCTTCAATGGACCTCCTCTACAAGTCATGTCTGTCTAAAGGGGTATCCTGCTGTCATTCCTCATGTCTCCCTATTCTGTCCCTCAAGCATATAACTCATATATTTGTGTACTTAGCTGTTTTCTTTTTTTATTAAGCTTTTATTTATTTATGCAACAAGAACTGGGGTATAGGCCAGAGATGTGGAGGATGAGCAGATTCACCAGAGATAGAATGGGGTGCAAAACAGGTGAATTTACTGAAATCCACTGCTGAGGGGAGCAGTGGGTGATAGAAGTCTGCTGTACCATGTGGGTCAGTTCCCTGGCTGGGATAACACTCATGTAGAGTGGCTGCAGATAGCTTAATAGCACTGAGACTTTAACCCCTGAGCCATCAGGGAGGCCCTGTGTGTTTAGCTGTTTCATGTCCACGAGATAGAAAACTCCACAAAAGAACGGCATCCATCTTATTAATTTCCTTGAAATATATGATACATGATCAACACTATGAGAACTGGTTTAATATATGCTACCCCCTAACTATCCTCCAGTTCTCCACAATCTATGTGTCTTGATACCTTTTTTCCTTTTCTACCTAACTCAGAAACTCAGCTCACACTGAAGACTGCCATGGCCCAATAACTTCTATCCCACCTTTTCTTTTTTTTCCACACAACAGAGCTCCTTTGAGGATCATCTCAAGCACTCTAAAGACTTTTCTGGCCTCCAATACATGATGTTCTGTCCTTGCTTTGTACCCTGAAGTACTCCGTAACTTAATGGCACTCCTGTTCCTGGTGGTGTAGGCACTATCAAGCCATAGCCAGCCACTGCTTCATGAGTCCAATCCCCAGCCACGGAGCTGACCCACATACTCAGCAGCCCACTCCTGTCTCGCCTGCTGCTCCCTTCAGCAGTGTATTTCAGTTGACCTGGCTGTTCTGCTCCCTGCTCTGTCTCTGGTGAATATTCTCACCACCACCCCCATCTCCAGGCTACACCACAGTTCTTGTATGCATAAATAAATTAAATTAAAAAAAAAAAAAAACTCTGACTCCTGGAGTAAGTAAGTAGGATGACAAGGCAAAAACCTGTTAATCTGTAGTAATCTTCAAATTCTAGTGAGCATCAGAACCACGAGATGAGTTTATCAGAATATTGATTCCTAGACCTCCAAGGAGGGCTTCACTGAGAATGAACATTAGGGCCCTCCCTGGTGGTGTAACAAGTTATAGCACAACACTATGAAACTAACTGCAGCTGCAGGAACTCAATCCCGCCCCCCCCCCACCCAGTCAGGGAGCTGACCCATATGGTGTGGCAGACCTCTCTTGTCCCGCCTTTTGCTCCCCTCAGCAGTGTGTTTCAGCAGGTAAGACCATTCTGTTCCCCACTCTGTCTCTGGTAAATCCTCTCATTTAGTTCTTGTATGCATACATAAATTAATCTTTTAAAAAAAAAAGGGCATTATTTTTAGCATACTTTATGACTCTATTGGACACCAGTTTAAGATCCTCATAAAAAGTAACTGAACCCTCAGAATGAAGTTTCACTGATTCAGTCTTAGGGAAGGGAGGAAGTTCAGAGGTTGAAAATCCCTACCCTTCCTCTTTTAAGAGGTTAGATGAATGGACACGCCATGGTTCTTTATTTGCTTTTCTCTTTCAACCCCCTCCCAGCTCCAACATTCAAAAAGTAACCCAGAAATTAAACAGAAGGAAACTCAAAGGGCCAAGGCAAGCCATCCCAAGATTAGCAGGCTTCCTCCCACAGGGGCCAAAGTCTGGGCGCTGGGGTCTCCACTCAGACCGTAGTAGTAAAAGCTGGTGCAAAACAAGGTGGTTCCAGAAGCTAGCAATAATCCAGCCTAAAAGGAGATAGAAGGCGAAATACAGACTAATAAGAAGAGAGCAAACAGTGAGGGAGTGGGTTTTGCTTGACATGGGTTAGGTAAGGGGGAATTTACCCAGAGGGGTTTTCTGCAATGGGGCACACTTAACAGGGCCAGGCTGTGTAAGAAGTGGTATTGGTTGGCCTTGAAAAACAGCTGTAAGACAAAAGAGAAAAGGGTGATTTTTTAAGCAACACAAGAACCTGAATTCCATGGGGACAAAACAGACAAAATTTTACCCTACAACCTCACCTCTAAGTCCCAGTTTGCCCCTCCCTCAGACTTGCAGCCCCTGCTGCTCCGAAGACCTAAGTACGGCCTTTTCCCTACTTCCTTCAAGGAACCCAGAACTTTGGACCCCAATAGACCCAGCAGTCGGGAGTTCCAACGCAGTTACTTCACCTCCTTTTTGTAGGCATCTGGGAACTGGGCGCCTATGGAAAAGAGAGATAAGGGTCACCAATCCTAGTGCTAGCTCCAGCCGACCCCCACTCCCGAGGGAACCCAAGTGGACACTGGCAAGACAGGGCACCCCCAGAAGGTTTCTGATTGGTGGACACTAGCATCGGGCAGTTTGGGGAGCCAATTGGACCGGGTTGAGGGACTTTAAAAGGTTAAGGCTCCGCGGTCAGTATGGTTCACCCGTGGCCCGGCACTTCCCATAGGCTCCGCCCCTGCACCAGACCCCAAGCACAATCCCGGCGAGGTCCCCAGGCCCCTGACCGTGCGCCCCGTAGGTGGCCAACCCTACAGCCCCGGCTCCGGACACGGCGGCTAGGCGGCGGAAAGCAGCCCCAGGCCCAGCCATGGCAGTAGATGGTCACGAGCCAGACGAACACCGCCCAGGCCACCCAAAAGGCCAGCCAATCCCGACCGTCCATGTAAATAAGGTCCACAGATGACCAATCCGGGTCGTGTTCATTTTAGCGTCCAGGCCTTCAGCCGGGAACTTACGCCGTTGTAACACCTCAGATGAGTGGTGAGGACGTCTGGCGGGCGGAGAAACCAGAACCAATTAGGAGGCTAAGAGCGGAGCCGTGGGAGGCGGGGTTGGGAGGGCGGGACCAGAGCATTTGCGTCACGGATTGGCCCACTTTCCAAGTTGATCGCCTCTTTTAACAACCCCCTCCCTCCATCGGCCAGTTTCCAAAGATCCAGATCCCCACGCAAAGTCCCGCCTCTTTCCCCACAGACTCCTCCTTTTCAGCGCTAAACCACACCCACTCCCAGACAGAGGCGGCCCCACCGACACCAAGCTCCGCCCATCGCCATTAAACCCTGCCTTCTGTCCAGATGGCTCCTCCCGCGGGCTCGAAGGGCCCGCCTTTTCCATATGATGCCCCGCCTCCCACAGTTCAACCCTCCGCGCCCCCCGCCCCTCCTCGAGAACCCCGAGGGTGGGGGAGCTGGAGGAGGCGGGCTAGGGCTCTACCCTGCCCCGGCCGGCTCGGTCCATCCTCCTGTCTGTCCACTCCCGCCCCCTTCCACCGTCTCCAAACCCCCCACACTGGAGGGCGGGCGGGCAGACTAGTGAGAGCGAGGGGTGTGCGCCGCTCTCTCGGCAGGGGGCGGGGGAGGCGGCCGCGCGGTGACGCGCGGGGCTGCTGCGGCTGCTCCGCCGGCGGATCATCACTCTCGGGCTGGGATGGACGCGGGGCGGGCGGGCCCTGGCGCGCGGAGCCAGGAGTCCGGGCCTCCCGGCTGCTGAGCGTCCCCTGAAGCTTCCCCTTCCCCTCACTTTCCCTCCTAAGAGCCGTTCCGACCCCCGCCTTGGGGCTCCAGACTCGGCTTCACCCTCCTCAGACTCCCTGGACCTCCCCCTCCCGCCCGCCCTCGGGATCGACTAGATCCCTCCCCCTCCCCGAGGATTCCGGCTGGATCTCTGCCCCTGCACCGCGGATCCTGCGCTCACGGGCTCCGGGCCCCTGGGGATTGCTGTGGACTCCTTCTCCCGCACCCGATCCCATAGGATCTTCCGCCTTCTGGTCCTTCGAAGCTGGTCCACGGAGCCAGTGAATCCCCAATTCAGTCCTGTCCCGTTGCCTCCTCCTCGCTCTGCTGTCCCCACTGCGGGGATCCCTGTTCCCGGGCTCCTCCTGACCCCATCCCCTATCTCTCCTTTCCCCGGGAATCGACTGGATCCCGGCCCCGCCCCCCGGGGCTGGGGCAATCCCCCCTCCCCCGCCGGGTGAGGCGCTGCGGGCGGGGGCTGGGCCTGTGGGGCCGCGGGGGCTCAGAGGCCGCCGCCCCCCTCCTGAAGCCCGTCCGCCCCCTACTCGGAGCCCTGGATGGAGGCACCACGGCCCCAGGGCTGAGCCAGGTAGGAGCTAAGCGAGGCCGAGTGGAGGGGGCAGCGTGGCGGTCCGCTGGGGTCTCCCTTTTCTCTATCTCTCTCCTTGCGCCTGGTTTTCCCCTGCCTGCTCTGTCTGCGTGTCTCCGCCTAGGGATGCTCTCGTCGTGTCTCTGCGTCTCGGTCTCTTTGTCTCTGCCTCTCTCCAGCCCATGAATGATCCTTTGAATGGGCCCACAGACCCCGTGTGTTCCCATCTCCCCCTCCCCCTCCTTCTCCCCTTCCCGGCCAAGCCGTTTCCCCACTGCAGGAAGAGGAGGGGGGGCCTGCGGCCTGAGCCCCTGTCCCTCTACTCTCCCCGGCTGGAGGGGTCTGGCCTGGATAGGAATGGAGAGAGCAAGGCAGAGGGTTAGGGAGAAAGGGGGGGGGGATTGCAAGATGTGGCAGTCAGAGATGGGGAGAACAGGGAAGATAAAATGGGGGAGACAGGAAAAGGGAGAAATAGAAGGTGTTTGATGGAGAAATTTGGAGAAGGGATTTGAAGGCCAGAGAAAGATGAGAAACACCAGGAGGGAGATATAGAAGGAAGATGGAAAAAAGAGTGAGGGGCGAGAGACTGAAGGCAAGAGGCTGAGCAAGCTGGAAGAGGCCTGGAAAGATGCTTAGAGGGAGCGCTGAGGAGAGGAGAGATGGGGGGGGAGGGCTTCAGTGGGAGTGAAGAAGGGAGAGAAGCTGGCAGGGAGGAGACCAGGGGCCCAAACTACCTTAAGGGAGTGGGGGTGATTGAATCAGACCATGTTAGTTGAAGGGGGAGGGGGTGGCGTGGCCTTGGAAGCAGAGCCCAGCCTAGCATGGGCTGAGAAGATCCTGAGGGAGCTACCCCCAAGCCCCTCCAGATGATGGGAGAACAGGAGCTTAAGAGGACCTGAAGAGGGGGAGGGCATGACTGGGTGTGTGTGGTAAGGATTCCTGTGTCCTCATCTCTGGAATAAATTGACACCTGCAGAGAGCCACCCGCGGGCTGGCGCCTGGCTCTGAAAACCCCGCGTCAGCAAACAGCTCTGGTGGCTCCTGGGGGGGGCAGGGGGGGCTTGCTGAAATGACCTGGGTGTGTGCCCCTTTGATCCCACCTCTTTCCTATCCTGCTGTTCTGGGCACCCAGGCATCAAAGCAGCAACTGTGTGTATGGGGTGTGTGTGTTGGGGGGGCTGGGGGAGTGAGAGGGCTAACAAGGGGAAGGGGAGGTGAATAGCTGAAATGGGATGAGAAGAAAGCTGAGGTTTGCCCCCAGGACACAGGTCTAAATGCCCTGCACAGAACAAGAGGTGTCTGTAGTCTGAGGCTGTTCAAGACTGTGGGAGGGGGCAGTCAGTGGACACATCTGATGCCCCTCAAACCTGCCTCAGCAGCCTTTCTCTCCAGCCAGAGGCCTGGTCGCTAGGATTGGGCTCTGATTGGCCAACAGGGGCAAGAGGCGGGCCTTTTAGGATTCTCTGGCCCCCCAATTTCCTACTCCCCTCAACATGTATACTTATTCCTCTGTACTAAGGTTGGGGGAAACTCTGGCATTCTGACTCACACCTCTGCTCTCCACACCATGTCCTAAATGAACCCCATAACCATGCCCGGCTCTCCCCCTCTTCCTCCAGATCCCCCCATTTCCAGGGTTAAAGCTGCAGCCCGTTGCCGAGGTAACATTGCGGGGCAGCATCCTGTCGCCCAGCAACCGGCTGCAGGATCACGCATCTGTCCTCGGATTTGCCCCTCCAGCATCCCCTCCCTACCCTAGCCCCTGTCTCACTGCACAGGAACTTCTTAGCAAAGACATGGAGAGGACCTGGGCGGCTGGGGGCTCCACCACCCTTCAGGGTCTTACAAAACTATAGTAGTTGTCGGGTAGTTGACGGGAGAAGCTTTTGGGCTTATGTCTCCCAAGAAAGGCAAAGTCTGACCTGGGTTGGGGGCTTAGTGCCATGGAATTACAGCTCAGGAGTAATTAACACGTATAAACAAACCTGCCACTTCCTGCTAATTAATGACTTGGTATTTTTATTTTCTCTTCCCGTCTATCTCATCCCTCACAGGGAGGTGGGAACTGGGACTCCTGAGTCTCTAAGGAGAGCCCACCTGGGAGGGCTAAAGCAGCTCCAGGGGGTGTGCTGGGTCTGGGGCGCTGGTCCTCCTTCTCACTGGCTCTGTCCAGGACATCTTTCACATCTTGACCCCACCCACAACTTCAGACTATTTTATCTGGGTCTCTGCTGATGGGGTAGGGGTTGCTGGGATCGGGAGGTGCCAGGAGGCCTGTGGGTGGAAAGAAGGGGGCAATTTGTTTGAATTCTAAGTCTCTAACCACTTATCTCTTCTGTTTTCCCATTCCTTTCTGTCTGCCCTATCCATTCAACTTCCCTTCCCTTCTTCCACCTCTTCTCTGTATCTTTCTGTCTGTCTGTCTGTCTGTCTGTCTGTATCTTTTATACCCTGTCTCTCCTCCCCTCAGGTCGGGCCTGCCTTCACCCTCACCCACTTCCTTCCCCTTCCCCACCCCTTACCCCCTCAATGGAGAGAAACAGACCCCTACTTGGTCCAGTCTAACCTAGGTCCCACCCTCCTCCCCTCCTCCCTCCTTTCCCCGCCCCCTCCTCCCTCCCGGGGGCGAGGGGGGCCTCCCTCCCTCTCCCCCCCCTTCTCTCTCTCTCCGAGGGGGGGGGTCCCGGGGAGGGAGGGGGGTCCCCCGATCAGCATGTGGCTCCTGGCGCTGTGTCTGGTGGGGCTGGCGGGGGCTCAACGAGGGGGAGGGGGTCCTGGCGGCAGCGCCCCGGGAGGCCCTGGCTTGGGCCTCAGCAGCCTCGGGGAGGAGCGCTTCCCAGTGGTGAATACGGCCTACGGGCGAGTGCGCGGTGTGAGACGCGAGCTCAACAACGAGATCCTGGGCCCCGTCGTGCAGTTCTTGGGTGTGCCCTACGCCACACCACCCCTGGGCGCCCGACGCTTCCAGCCGCCTGAGGCCCCTGCCTCTTGGCCCGGCGTGCGCAACGCCACCACCCTGCCGCCCGCCTGCCCGCAGAACCTGCACGGGGCGCTACCCGCCATCATGCTGCCTGTGTGGTTCACCGACAACTTGGAGGCAGCCGCCACCTACGTGCAGAACCAGAGCGAGGACTGCCTGTACCTCAACCTCTACGTGCCCACTGAGGACGGTAAGGGCGCAGGCACCAGGCCTAGCACCTGGTGACACAGCCCACAAACGCACATACAGACCCCCCTGCGCTGGCACAGCCCCAGGCTGGGAGCTGCCCCTTGGTGGGGACAGTGAAGGGCAGTATGGCCCTGTAGGCTGTGTGCCCTCTAAGGTGGTACAGGTGCCTACCAGGAACCAATCCCACCAACAGCCACCCCAAATTCTTTGTGCCCACAGAGAACATTTCTGGGGGTAATGGCAGTAGACACTAGGCAGAGTGGACACAGGCAACCATCATTTGCCTAGACTCCTTCTCCACCTCTGCCCCCCTCCCACCTCCAGGACTGAGTTTTCCCTGGTGGAATACACACTTTATCTACATCTGCCCCTGAGACCACACAGACTCCTTTCCTTCCTGGCCAGCAGGGGCAACCTTCTGTCTAGCCTCTCTCCTGAGCTGAATGCTTCTTTATGATGCTCTGTCCTCTGGTCCCTATAAGCCCCCAACAGGATCAAGGAAGCTCCCACCAATGGCCCTTTCACTCACAGCACAGCCCACCCATTCCCATCAGAAGCCCTTCCCCAGGGCTCGCAATGAACTCTCTAGTTCACTATAGCACAATTTATGGTCCCCAGGACACTCCCCCTGGACCATTCTCTACCTGCATCCTTCAGCACACTGAGCTTACTCAATACTTCTGTCTACAAAAGAGGATCTATCAGCTGAACTCCAACCACCCCATAAACAGCCCCCATGTTACCTTTCAGTCACTATTCCAAAAGACCCCACCTCCACAGAGAACTTCTATTCCTGCACTATTCCCCACAGGCCATTTTCCAACAATTTTACACACAGAGTCATTAGCTGGAACTGCTGTATGTACATTCTACCTACCAGACCCCTCTACAACCTGCACTCAAGGCCAACCCAAGACTAGGAATCTCAGCTACTCAGTACGCAGGTCATGTACCCAAGTTACTATACAATTCCCATGTGTCCTTTACATTTCCCGCATCTTCATCCAGCACAAACCCCATACTGAGTGGGTACGTTGTCACCCACACCGATCCATGTTCTCCAGTGCCCCTGGATATAGATCAAATGCCATAGTACACCCACACATAGAATGTATATCCTGATGACCCTGCACCTGGACTGTGTGCTTTGACAGCCTCCTCAGGCCAGTCCCCAACGCCTTCAGCACTTCTCAAACATTGCTTTCCTAAACTCTTGCCTAGAGACCCACCTATACCATGTCTCATATGGTACAGCAACCCTTTCTGCTTGCAAATGAAGACTCCAACACCTTTCTTTCTAAACCCAGAGTCCTCTTAGCAAGTCACAGAACAACTCATCACTTCAGCCCACTCAGGTCCTTTACCACACCTTCAGTGTGGCCCGTCTACCCTGGATCCTTCATACCAGCTGTGTACCCTCACACCCTAACCACCCCTCTCCGTGTAAGCCTCCAGCAATACATACAATGCATAGAAATATCACCTAGCTCCACATCGCAAGCACCCTAATAGACCACTTACCCCAATACACACATCCTTCCCAATATCCACCACCCTGCATTCCACTTAAGGATCATTCACTGCACATTCCCCAGCCCTCTGTGAATCATTTGCTCCAGTGCCACAAGACTGGCCACCCCCGTGTCTCCTTAAGTGGGCTGTCTCATCATACCTGGCTGATGTGAAACTTTTACCCAGGGCTTCCCACCAGTGGACTGTCCATCCCAACACCCGCACCCCACCCCCACATCGCCCACACCTTCTGTATTTTTAACTGCTTACTGTAGACCTGCCTAAGGCCTGACACATTCAGGTGATCTCACTGAATCTTCACACCAGCTCTGGGAGGAAGAGGTTGGTTGACTCAGGCACGCACACTCTCACACACACACACTTATACTTAATATTCTCATGCACACATTTGCCCTGCTGACTTCATCCCCATCCCCATCCTGCCACAGAGGATAGGCCCTGATCCCAATGAGTCTCCAAGGGATTGTCAATTGGGAGAAGCCAAATACTGGGCCTGTTGACCTGTCCCTCCCCAGACTGGACTCCACTTCCACTGAAGAGAAACCAATCAACCCAGGGAACCCCCTCAGGCCTCTGTCTTCCAGGTCTCCCCTACTCAATCTCCCAATCTGAAAGAAGCCTGGAGCCAATCTCTGGGCCCAGTGTGATGCCCTTCCCTGACAGTGGACATTCTTTGTGCTTGCTGGCACCTCCTAACACCTTATGTGCCAGGCTGGCCCAGAGCACCTATTCCCTATTTGTGGATTGGTCCCCTATTGGGGAGGTGTTTTTTTTTTTTTTTTCTTTTGGCTTTAGAGCAGGGGCGGGGGAGCCGGTGCCCCAGGTGGGAATTTAATCATTTTGTGGGGAGGAGAGCAGGCCTGGGTAAGGGGTGAGGTGGGGGGAGGGGTACAAAGGGAAGAGGTGGAGTGGAGGGCAAGACCTGATGACCCTTTTCCCTGCTTCACCCCACATTGGGGAGATGGGGTGAGAAGCCAGGCCTGTATGTGTGGATGGAAGAGAAATGCAGGTGGACAAGAGGCTGGGGAGGTGGTCAGGCAGCCCTAGTAGACCTACCCACAGCCTTCCAGTGGGGAGGCTTTGAGCTATGTGGCAAGCTGCCCCCTGACCCCCCTTCTACCCTCTGCCCTCCAGATTGGCCCAGAGCGAAGCAGAGTCCTCTCTGCTGTGGTCCCTCCTCTCTATAGCCTGGGGGGACAGACAGGCGCTTGGCTGGCCAAGAGGGCCTTCTCGTGCGGCGGCGTACCCAGTGGCACAGCGGGCCCTGGGCTCCCTGGCAGAGTTCCCTTCCCCGACCCACTTCTAACGCCTTTTCATTTCCAGCAATTAGCAAACACTTCGACAACCAAATCCTTTCCAACCAAGTCAATATGTCTTAAGACAGGCCTCAGCCCACTCAGGCACCCCAACCCCGCAAACCAGCCTTTTCTTTGGGGCATGACTTTTTCTGGGGAGGGGAACAAAATTGGGTTGTAGAAACGTTTTTCTCTTTTCTTGGTTTCTTTTTCTTGCAAACAAATTTTGCTTTTTTTGGCTTATTTTTTCTGCCCCCCCACCCTCCCCTTTTCTGCTTTCTCTCCTCCCCTCCCCATCCACCACCTCCCCTGACCCCCATCTTTCCCCACAAAATTGTCCTTTTTTCTCTGTTTTGTGTTCCCGGTCTTAGGTCCGCTCACAAAAAAACGTGACGAGGCGACGCTCAATCCGCCAGACACAGGTAGATTTAAAAATCCCGCTGCTGCATGTGGTTGCTGATAAGAGGACGCCCCTAACTAAATGCCCCCACAGCCCTCAAGGCCCCTCAGTCATTCTCCCAACTAAAAATGAAAAAGAAAAGAAAAGAAAAATTTTTAATAATTGGAAAAACAATTATGAAAACTTCAAACAAAATTGGAACAATGTTGGACCCACTATAATCCTGCACGAAACTAAATATGGCAAAAATAAAGTAAAAAAGAAATTGGAATGTCAGGGAAAAAATTGGCTAAAATGTTTAGGATTTGAAGAAATTTGGATTGTTTTGAAACGTGTGAAATGTAACATTTGAAAAAGCAATTTTAATTTGGAGCAAAACAACATTTGAAAAACAAAATTTTAAGTTGGCAAATTGATGACACAATTGCAATATCAGAAGCCTTCTACAGTTTCCAGAGGCCTGTCAGATACAGAGAACGTGAACATTTGAAGCAAATTAAAGAATTTGGAGATTTTTGAAAACAGGGCCCAATATCTTGAAGTTTCACCACAAAATTTTGAAAAAAAATGCAAAGAATTTTTTCTTTTTTTCTTTTTTTCCAAAAATGGATCTTTTTTGTTTTTTGTTTTTTTTTTTTTCTTTTCTTGTTGAATCTGCCCCGAGAGCTTCTTGCTTTTTGGTTGTTGTTTTTTCTTTCTTTCTTCTTTCTTGATCCTGTTTTTTTGTTGTTGGTTTTGAATTCTTGTTGCCCCAGCCCCCTTCCCTGCTCCTTCCCTCTCTGACTCCCCCACCCCTCAAACTGGGAGTGGAGGTGCTGGGTGGGGAGAAGGGAGAGAATGAGGACCTATAGGACAGGGTTTTGGAGGGATGAAAACTCCAGCCAGAACTTGGAAGGTCACAGGCGATCCAGGAACCAAGGGAGGAATAGGATTTGGGAAGGACACAGGGAGGGCACCTAGGAGCTCCTGGCCAAACTCAGGCAAGGGAGGTGGCAGAGAAGACCCTGAGAGACAGAAGGCATGAAGCCATCTGTGAGGAGTAGAGGAAAGCTTCCTAGTGACCCACTGGTTGACCTGGCAGGAGGCAGGTTTCCAGCAAGACAAGGGAGGCTGGCAGAGGCCCAGCTATGAAGGCCAGGCCTTGCTCTTATTTGCTGAATACTCAGGCAAGAAAGAGATTGCAGGTGTTAAGAACTTAGGACCTGTGGGCCGGGTCACCCCAGCTTTGACCCTGTGGCCTAATTAGGGAGGGGTTGCATGGAAGGGTACTTACTATACAGCCTTGCAAGCCCTCTTAGGCTCCCCTCTTTCTGGAATTAAGCACCCCTCAGCCCAGGATGGAGTGTCTCAAGGCCTTACTGCAACTGACAGTGGTCTTGGGATCCTTTTGGAACTTGGCAAGAGAGGGATCCAGGGTAGAACCCAGGGCTCAGGCCAGGTTGGGACTCCCAAGACTAGAGAGCTGCACCCTGACTTCATTAAGCAAGCTCTTTCCCACCCTGCTTCCTCCTGCCACTGTAATTAGGCTGGGGGTTGCCATGGAAACTGGGGAGGTGACCTAGAAAGGAAATAGGGCGGGAGGAGACCAAGCCCCCAGGGACCCTAGGGCCTGGCACCCCCTCACCCACAGACCAGACTCCCACGTGGAGCTGAGGCCCAAGGTCTAAGTCTGAGGAAATGCCAGGACCCTCCCAGCAGCTCCTAGATCCAGTCTTGGGGACTTGGTCTTCCTAGGAGCAGGAAGGTAGAATTGCTGTGTGAGTGGGGAGAGGGGTTCCCTGGATCCAGCAGATGTCCAGAGGAGGGCCCTCCCCCTCCCACCTCTGCTAGGCTTTTTGAAAGGTCTGCCCAGCATTCCCAGAGGAGCTGTTTAACAGGCTGGTAGGAAATGGGGAGGGTCTTTCCACCAGACTAGTTGGGGAGGGAGGGAGGGGAATCCGGTCTTGCCCCCCAGGGACGGGAGTGACATATCCCCTGAGCTCCAGGCTAGTCCTCAGCAGGCCTGGGAGCTGGGCAGTGCTGCTTCTGGACTGACTGTGTCCTTGTCCCACCCCTGGCCCACTTGCCCGCCCCCTCCCCACGCAGATATCCGGGACTCTGGGAAGAAGCCCGTGATGCTGTTTCTACACGGCGGCTCCTACATGGAGGGCACTGGGAACATGTTCGATGGCTCCGTCCTGGCCGCCTATGGCAACGTCATTGTAGCCACGCTCAACTACCGGCTTGGGGTGCTCGGTGAGGGTGGGCAGCTAACTTTAGAGGCTGGAGTCTGGGAGGGGGCACCTGGTGGGTGGGGTTCCTCTAAACCCAACAGAAGCAGAATGGCTTCTGGACTGGACTGAGCAACCCAGAAAAAGGTCAGGGGTGCTGTGACATCCCCAAAGAACCCCCTTTCTTCCTCTACCTCAGGTTTTCTCAGCACCGGGGACCAGGCTGCGAAAGGCAACTATGGGCTCCTGGACCAGATTCAAGCCCTGCGCTGGCTCAGTGAAAACATTGCCCACTTTGGGGGTGATCCTGAGCGTATCACCATCTTTGGGTCTGGGGCAGGTGCCTCGTGTGTCAACCTTTTGATCCTCTCTCACCATTCAGAAGGTACCAACCACCAGCTCCTCCCTTCTACTTTCCACGCCCCTCACCTCACCAAGTCACCCTTGTCCTTTGGTCCAATACAGCCCAGCCTGAAGCCTGTCTGTCCCTCCAGGGCTGTTCCAGAAGGCCATTGCTCAGAGTGGCACTGCCATCTCCAGCTGGTCTGTCAACTATCAGCCACTCAAATACACGCGACTACTAGCAGCCAAAGTCGGCTGTGACCGGGAGGACAGTGCTGAAGCTGTAGAGTGTCTGCGCCGGAAGTCTTCCCGGGAGCTGGTGGACCAGGATGTGCAGCCTGCCCGGTATGGGGGTAGAGCGGGCCAGGGCCAGGCCTTCACTCTCCTTGCTCCTTCCAAGGAGGTTGAGAAGTGCCTGCAGGCATGCCTTTGTAAGGAGAAGTAGGCTTCTAGTGGCCCTGCCTCCTCTCAGAAGCCTTCCTTAAGTAGAGGCACCTAAACAGAGCAAGTGTGCAGGAGGTACCCTGAGATGCTTCAGGGGAACTTCTCAGGAAACCCGAGTGCTCTGAATGACTCCTAGATTTTAACTTGGGTAGGTTCTTTCAGGCACAGGGAAGAGTCCTCCTGTGAGCTCAGCGGGCTGTGAGCTGAGAGGAGGCCAGTGAGCAGATGATGAGACTCTCACCCCTTCTCCCCAGCTACCATATTGCCTTTGGGCCCGTGGTGGACGGTGATGTCGTCCCTGATGACCCCGAGATCCTCATGCAGCAGGGAGAATTCCTCAATTATGATATGCTCATCGGTGTCAATCAAGGAGAGGGTCTCAAGTTCGTGGAAGACTCTGCAGAGAGCGAGGACGGTGTGTCTGCAAGCGCCTTTGACTTCACGGTCTCCAACTTTGTGGACAACCTGTATGGTTACCCAGAAGGCAAGGATGTGCTGCGGGAAACCATCAAGTTTATGTACACAGACTGGGCCGACCGGGACAATGGTGAGATGCGGCGCAAGACCCTGCTTGCGCTCTTTACTGACCACCAGTGGGTGGCCCCAGCTGTGGCCACTGCCAAGCTACACGCCGACTACCAGTCCCCTGTCTACTTCTACACCTTCTACCACCACTGCCAGGCTGAGGGGCGGCCCGAGTGGGCAGACGCAGCACATGGTGATGAGCTACCCTATGTCTTTGGTGTGCCCATGGTGGGTGCCACTGATCTCTTCCCCTGCAACTTCTCCAAGAATGACGTCATGCTCAGCGCTGTGGTCATGACCTACTGGACCAACTTCGCCAAGACTGGGTGAGGGCCAAAAGGGCTGGGTGGGGCACCTCTGCAGGCAAAGGCCATACCCCCTCCATCCTCACCCCTTCCTCCATTAAGGCACTCTTGTATTGGTTCAGACACCTGCTGGACCCCTTCTCTGGGCCAGGTGCCAAGTTGTGTGCAGAAATCCAGCAGAGAGAGAGGTCCTGCCCTTTCTGGGGGTGGGCTCAATGGTGGCTTTGGCTCTGGATCTCTCTCTCTCCTTCCCTGCCTTGCCCACCCACCCTGTCTTTTTCTCCTCTCAGCTCTGCCTGACACTGCTCCAGTTTATGTGTCTGATTATGTGTAAGGGCTTGTTGTATCTGTCTCTTTACTGCTATCTCTGCATGTGCCTCCTGAAATCCAGGCAGTTTCTGCCTTTCTTTGCTCTCTTTCCTCTGTTTCCTTTTTGCTTACCTATTTCACCCTGGTCAGCTCTCCTGTTCCTTTGTCTCTCAGTTTCTCTGTGTTTGTATCTCACTCACTCTCAGCCTGTGCCTCTGTCTCTGGCTATCTCTTTTTCTGCCTCTGCCTCTGCCTCTGCTCTTCTGTTCTCATCTCTAGGCTGTCTCTGGCACCTGTCTCCATACCCATTTGTCTCTCTGTCCCTGTCTCTGGCAGTTTCTCTGTCTCTTCCTCTTCATCCTGTCTCTCTTTCTCTGACTGTCCTGTCTCCCAGCCCTCTGCATCTCTGTCCCGTTCTCTCCCCATTCCTCCCCAGCTCCTACTCCCTCTGGAATCTCACCCTCACTCTCCCTTTCCCTGCCCTCCTATGCCCACAGCGACCCCAACCAGCCAGTGCCACAGGACACCAAGTTCATTCACACCAAGCCCAACCGCTTTGAGGAGGTGGTGTGGAGCAAGTTCAACAGCAAGGAGAAGCAGTACCTGCACATTGGCTTGAAGCCTCGCGTGCGCGACAACTATCGCGCCAACAAGGTGGCCTTCTGGCTGGAGCTCGTGCCTCACCTGCACAACCTGCACACGGAGCTCTTCACCACCACCACGCGCCTGCCTCCCTACGCCACACGCTGGCCTCGGCCACCCCAAGGGGCCCCGGGCACACGCCGGCCCCCACCGCCTGCCACCCTGCCTCCTGAGCCGGAGCCTGAGCCAGGGCCTCGGGCCTATGACCGCTTCCCCGGGGACTCCCGAGACTACTCCACGGAGCTAAGCGTCACTGTGGCCGTGGGCGCCTCCCTCCTCTTCCTCAACATCCTCGCCTTTGCCGCCCTCTACTACAAGCGGGACCGGCGGCAGGAGCTGCGTTGCCGGCGGCTCAGCCCACCCGGTGGCTCAGGCTCTGGTGTGCCCGGCGGGGGCCCCTTGCTTCCCACTGCAGGCCGAGAGTTGCCACCAGAGGAGGAGCTGGTGTCATTGCAGCTGAAGCGGGGTGGTGGCGTTGGGGCGGACCCTGCTGAGGCCCTGCGCCCTGCCTGCCCCCCCGACTACACCCTGGCCCTGCGCCGGGCACCAGACGATGTGCCTCTCTTGGCCCCCGGGGCCCTGACCCTGCTGCCCAGTGGCCTGGGGCCCCCGCCACCCCCACCGCCACCCTCCCTTCACCCCTTTGGGCCCTTTCCCCCACCACCCCCCACTGCTACCAGCCACAACAACACGCTACCCCACCCCCACTCCACCACGCGGGTATAGGGAGCAGCTCGGGGAGGGCCTCCTCCCCAGTGCTCCTGGCCGCCCGGGGAAGTGCCGCTCGGAAGGCAGGGAGGACAACTTGGCAACGGGCTTTTCTCATGTGGAGCTGCCACACGTCGAGAGCATTAGGTGGACGTGGGTTTCCTCACTGGGACATGTTTCTCCCATGCAGAGAGGCCCACTCTCTTCTCTGGACCTGGGCCTTTGAACAACTGGGGGGTGATTTTTCCCCTCCCTTGGGACACCAGTCTTGGGTGTGTGGAAACGTGGACGTATTTTCCCACGTGGAGGTGTGATTTCTCACGAGGGGGTGTGTTTTCCCATGTGCAGGGTGAGGTTTTTTTTGCCACCCTGGACACATGCTGACCCCCTCAAAAAATTTCTGTGGGGATTTGTACCCCAGAATCCTGTTCCCTTAATGCCTTCTCCCACCTCCTCCCTGCTCCCCACCCCATGGAGACCCTGGAAGTGGTATGTTCACATACAGTGACCCTTGGCCAACAGATGACACAGGGTGGTGCCCGGGAAGTATCGAGGAAATCAGCCCCCTCCCTGCCCCACTCCCTACTCTACCCCAGCTTAGCATGTTTATCCCCCATGGCACAAGTCAGGGGAAGCACGTTCTCCAGGTGACAGAGAGACACAGATTTCCTGCCAGGAGGAAGTGAAGAGTTCCCTGCATCCCTGTGCTATCTGGGAATTGTTTCCCCATGGGTCCAGGATACATTTCTCTGAGTAGAAACATGGCTTGCATGTGGATGTGTGTTTTCCCATGCAGACAGTCCCTTTCTCCCCAGCACTTCCCTGCATCCCCCAGACCTCAGACCCAGCACTTAATTCTTCCTCAGATGGCAGGTGGGCACAGACTTCTCTAGAAAGCTGACCGAAGCTGAGGGGAATGTAACAAACCCTGAGGGGAGGGCTTTGTCCCCTTCCTCCCCCAGACCAGAGGAGCTGAGTTGGGGGAGGGGAGTGGCACCTGCCACCCACAGAGGCCATGCATGTTTGACCAAAGCCCTCAGTGGAGTTTGAGGACAGCCTCTTCCTCTGTCCTCAGACCATTGCTCATCTGTGCCAAACTGGATAAGTGGGTTTTTGAAGACCCCCAAATGTGCCAAGGATTCCTCAGTCCTGGATAAGGTCATGTCAATGTGGGGGCGAGTGGGAGAGTCCTGCCTGTGTCTTGCCTCATACCATGCCTTGGTTCCCCACCCCTCATACTCATCTTCCTCTTTGAAGTTGCTCATACCCCAGTGTCAAGCCAGCATCTCCTCTCAGCTGCCCACCTCCTTCTTTATCTAAATCACCCCCCCGCCCCCACCTTCCCTGACTACCAGGGCTGGAAGAAAGGAGAGATGGAACAGGAAGGAGAGCAAGGGAGAAGGGTTTCATGGGACAGGTTGGGGAAAGAATGAGGTCAGCTGTGTGAGGAACAGATGGGGTGGTGGGGGACGGAGTTTGGGCAGACACCAGCAAGAAGAATTTGAAAGGACATGTATAAGGTGACCGCCCAGCAGGGATCAAGGGAAAAAAGTGTTCAAGCCTCTGGGGAAAAGAGTGCAGTCAGGAAAGGTATTAAGGGACATCGTATCTGAGGAGACTCTTCATCTGCTGGTATTTGGTGGGTTTCTTAGTGCCAAAGTAGGGAGTGGGGTACTGTCTTCCACTGACACCCAGATCCAGAATCCCTGGCCTTGGCTCCCCAGAATTCTGCCTCTGACCCTCCCTTTTCCCACCTCCGCCCCATGGAACGTTAGTTCTCCAACCCCTTCCCCTGCCTGGTCTAGCTCCTCTCCAAACAGCCATGCCCTCTAAATGCTAGGGAGCTGGACCCTAAACCCTGTAGAGAGATGCCCCCAAGTTGGGGCTCGGGAGAGGGGCTGGGGGACCCCATGATTCAGCCACGGACTCCAATGCCCAGTCCCTCTCCCCAGAACAATTCCCTGACAATCTCATGTCCCTACCCCAACCCTTTGCGGCTCTGTACACATTTTTAAACCTGGCAAAAAGATGAAGAGAATATTGTAAATATAAAAGTTTAACTGTTGGTTACGCTTGCTATGATGCTAGAAGGTGGAAAGAGGGGCTCAGAAGAAACAGGCCCTGGGGAACTGACACTACCATTGAAGGAGGGGGTCCCAGCCCACAACCGTTTTCAGTGAACAGCTCCGAGGTCTGAGAGAAAAAGGGAGTAGATGCTGGGGTTAAGGTTGCCATGGGGACAGGACTATATGGGGAATTAGGATCAGGACCCTTAGTGTCTGTGCAGAGGTCAGTGCCTGGTGTGGAGAAGGATCCAGCAGAGGCAGGTGGGAGTAGATACCGGCCAGGCCAGAGGGCTTGTGGACTGGTCTGGTGGCTGACTTCAGGAGTGGCTTTTTTAAGGTGAAGAGTGGGCCTCAGCCAAGGCCCAGCTCAGGCTAAAGAGCTAAGTATGGGCCCAGGACTCCCTCTTGGCACATTGTGAGGGAGAGCCCAGCATCATTGTGACCCGCTTATCCCCAGGAGCTTCTGGGACAGATGGGTGCCACTGGATACTGTAGGCACAGTAGGCCCGGGGGTCTAAGGGCCCCGGTGGTCCTAGGGACCCCCATGGCCATGGCTGAGCAGCCACGGCCTGGGTGGACCTCATATCACAATCCCCACACCAATAACTGCCAGGACCTGGGTAACTCCATCCTGTTGCTGTTGGGCCTCATCATCTGTATTAACATTGGCATCAATATGGTGACGCTGGTCAGGGTGGGGCCGGATGGGAGGGTGCTGGCAGGATGGACGGGAGGCAGGCCTGGTGGCCAGGGCCTACCTGGGGTCACTGTTTCCTCCCTCACCTAGCTCTGGCACAGACTCCGTGGCTTCTTACACCAAGTGTTCCATATCTTATGTGAGAAAGGTAAGCAGGGGTTAGGGTTTGGGAGTGTGGGAGGGGCAGAAATCATGCATTCTAGTTCAGCCCTAAACTGATTTCCCTCCACTCTCCCCACTCAGACACCATATCTGTGCAACTTCTCTCCCGTACCCTTCCTCTCAATCCCTGTGGGAGCCAGCCTTCCCACCAGCCTCTCACCTCTCCCTGATTCACAGAAGTTAAGCCATGCCCGCCTGAGAAGCAGAGCCAGCCCCCAAAGCAGAGCTCCCCTACAGTCCACCTTCGATGCACCATGGACCCTGTAAAAATGACAGTGACCCCTCCACCCGTTCGCCGCCATCGCCGACGAGGCTCTTCAAGGCGCCGTGCCCACCGCCCTCTGGCCTGTCACGACACTGACGAGGAGAAGCCCCCACATCATTGCCCAGCATTCTGTTCCCACAACTGGGATGTCCCCCCAAACTGGGAAGGCTACCGCTCTACTCAGGGGTTCTGGGTTCCCTGGGCACAGGATGCGCTAGAGCCACCTTCCCAGACTATCCGCTTCCAACAGACTATAGGGGGAAGGCCCCTAAAAAGAGAGATGAGATCAGAACTGGGCCTTGAGGCATATGTGTACCCTGTGAACCCCCCACCCCCCAGCCCTCAGGCCCCAAACCATAAGACCAATGGGGCAGGGGCTGGGGCTGAGGCAGAGCAGGAGCAGTGCCCTCCAGCCCCACCACCCATCCAGGGCCCAGCATTTGTCCCAGAAGTCCCCCGGCGTGGCTCCTCAGCCCGCATAGTGTATGACGCACGAGACGTGAGGCGGCGGCTTCGGGAGCTGACCCGGGAGGTGGAGGCCCTGGCCCACTGTTACCCTATGATCACTGAACACAGCGCCATGGCTGAGGAGACGGGCAAGGACTGGATATACCGTCACTTGCCAGAAAAGTGACTGGGAGAACAATAAAAAGAAGAGAGGTGGAGGTGGTTTGTGTTGGTGTGAGGAGCAGGGCCCACAAGCACCCAGAAACCCTGCTTGGTAGGGAAGTGTTCTCCCTGGCAACAGGACCTAGAGAACCCTGAGGACCCTCATCACCTCTTGACCTCAACAGGCCGTCTTCAACCCAGGCCCTTCTTAGTTTCAAGATGCCTCTAGCCAATCTTTTCGTATTCTTCAGGTTTTAAAATTTTTTATTATTTTAGTGTAGAAGAACTGGGGTGTAGGCCAGAGGTTCCGGGTGTGTGTGAGAGAGAAAGAGAGAGAAAGGATTCACCAGAGACAGACTGGGGCGCAGAATAGGCAGATTCACTGAAATACACTGCTGAGGGGAGCAGCAGTTGAGACAGGTCTGCCCTGCCATGTGGGTCAGTTCCCTAGCCGGGAATTGAACTCAGGCTCCCTCAGTGGGCCTTCAAGGTAGTAGCCCTGAGACTTAGGCCACCAGAGAGGCCCTATCCTGTCATTTTTAGTATCCAGAGAAGATGCCCAATCCCATCCCAGATCTCAAGCAGCCCTGCAGTAGAGGGGAGACGCTCATCCCCATTTCCTAGACACTTGTAAGCCTGATTCCTGCCAGAGCCTAGATTTAGGCTGCAACAACAGATAGGCCCTAGTTTCCAGGGAAGGGATGATGGAGAGTGAGGATACCTTAGCTCCTGTACACTTGAGCAGGCTTAGAAAAGGAGGTGAAATATTGGAGGACTACCTCAATACCACATCGCAGCCCTTTGTAACCTTACTCTCTGGTTAGCACCTTCATGTCACAAATGGAAACAAGGCCCAGAGAGGCCAAATGACTTCTTCATGGTCACACAGACAGAGCTCAAGTTCATAGCCTCAGATACACCAACCCCCTGCTCCCGCAGGTAGATTCCCATTGCCACTGAGTCAGTCAGGCCCATCAGAAGCTCCCACCTTCCTCAGTTTGCCAGGTGAACTTTTCAGAATGTTCTAGCTACTGGACAGCAGGAAAACCCAGGACCCACCCTACTTCTAGTTGATGGAGTTTATATACATGCACACAGGTAAGGATCAAAGAACCAAGCGAATACACCCAGGCTGAAGGAGCTGGACTTCACCTTCTATACAATCTGAGTTCCCGGAATGTGAGGATAACTTTGTGTGTGTGTGTGTGAATCAGCCTGCTTCTCTGTTCATTTTCATTCAACTAATGATCATCTTAAGCCAATCTCACTCAGTGGGTATGTACTGAGTACCCACGAGGTGTCTGGAGGCTTGATGGGGAGAGCTCACTGGCTGTTCCTCATTTCTATTTGTGTAAACACATGACTTGAGGTCCCCCCAGGCACCACTCTCACCAGTCCCAGTGATGAACCTGGCTTAAATCAACTCCTTTTGTCATATCAACAATTCTGTTTATTTTGTGCTTTATGAGTTTCTTGATGTTTTGTGATTTTCTTAATGTGGCAGCTAAGTTTTTCAGTCTGGAGGGGGGCAGCTTGATGGGCAGGCAGATGGTTAGAAAAGAGAGAAATCAAGTTTGGAGCTGGCGCCTGCATAACAGCAACCCCAGCAAGAGGCTGTTCTTGCTTTGAAGCAAGTGACCACTAATACCTAGAGCTTTAGCAGTGGCCATGAAAGGGGTTGGGCTAAGAGGTACTAATGGCAGGGAAATAGGGAAGGCCGGGAAATGGGCAGAAAGGGAGGGAGTGGAGCAGCAGAATGACCAGAGTCTCACACCACCACCCCTGCAACCAGCAGAGGCAGAAGAACCCAAGACAATTCCCCAACAACAGCCCAGTCTTTTGTAGCCAAAACCACAACCACAGGAGGCTAACCCTAGCTGTTCCTCCAGTAGGAATGTGTTGGGGTACCAACAAGCTACATTAATGGCCATAATGTCTGGAAAGGCAAATGGAGGGATTCCTTTATGCAAAATTCAGTTCTATGAAGACTGACTCACAACTGCAACTACAATATTTTGAGGTCAGAATCGGGTATAGAGTTAAACAAACCTCCATGGAGAAAGAGGGAAAGACTGAAATCTGGGATATCTGGGGACTGTGCGCCATCAAGTGGGAACCAAGGGCAAAGGTGGCCAAATAAAGAGCCAACAGAGTGGGTGAAAGAGCAGCCTCTTCTGCATTGTGACTCCCCTCAGTGCGCCTCATTGTGACCTGGCTCCATCACTAGCTACTAGGTTTCTCCAGGTACTGGAATGAGTGCAGTGTGGGCCAGGGCTGGTGGGGGGGTGGGTGCGTGGCCCAAGTGGCCCTAGAACCCCCCCACCATGGAATACCAGCTCGGGTATGACACCCTGGGGTGCTGCAACCAACACCAAGAAGGTCCCCAGGATGCCGAGGACTTCCTATTCCTGCTGCTGGGCCTCATCATTCTTGTTAACATCGGGATCAACATGGCAACTGCGGTCAGTGACAGCTGTGGACACACCCCTCAGGGTGAAGAGGGCTGAGGATGGGAGCCAGCTTCAACCTGCATCTCCACTCGCAGGAGTGGAACTGGCTGGGAAGGGGTTGGGGGCTGGGTTGGAGAGCCCGGCCTTCACCCCACCCCACCCCACCCCCAGATGTGGAATGGACTTCAGAATGCCTTAGACAAGATAATCTCTTGGATTAATCAGAAAAGTAAGTATGGCAGCTGGAGAGGTGGGTTGCCGTCCCTCATTTCAGTTCACCACAATGGTTCTAGAAGCCCAGGCTCCAGTGTTCCCTACCGTGAGTTCTGACAACTGCCCCGACCTCATGAAGTCTTGCCTCCCCCAGATGAAGTGCCGCAGGCTTCTGCAAGTCCCCCGAAAGACCCCCCAGCCCAGGACGTCCACATCCACTGCAGCCTGGACCCTGTAGAAGTGAAGCTAGCCCGGCCGACCCGCTGCTGCTCCTCCAACCACCATCACAGAAAACGCCGCTCCCCCTACCACCAATTCAAGCGCAGCCGCCGCCGCCCCTACCGCCCCCACCGCCACCACCACCACCACCCCTGCAACCAGCAGAGGCAGAAGAACCCAAGACAATTCCCTAACAACAGCCCAGTCTTTTGTAGCCAAAACCACAACCACAAGATGTCACAGCTGCAGCCGATGCCCTCCTTTGATCAGGAGGACCCGGACTCCTACCTGGAGGAGGAAGATGACCTGTCCTTCCCACATCCCAAGTACCCCCAGGGGCGTTGGGGGGGCGGGGTTTACCAGCAAGTGGGCTTGCCCTCCAGCTTGGGGCTGTGGGGCCGCCAGGGTGGGATCCTGGCCAGCCTGCCACCGCCCTCTCTCTACCTGTCACCTGAGCTCCGCCGCATGCCCAAGCGTGTGGAGGCCAAGTCCGAGCTGAGACTGCAGTCCTACAGACCCCCTTGCTCCCAGTCCCACATCTGGAGTAATGTGGAGGCCGAGGAGTGGGTTTCGCCACCACCTCCCCGCCGGCTGACCCCTAACTCCTGTGGGGTCTCTGGGGGGTACAACCCTTACCCCTCAAGGGGCCAGCTGCCGTGCGACTCCTGGGATCAGCGGAGGCGGACTATAGACAGCTCTGAGCCCCCATATGCCTTGGCGCGACGGGGCTCCCGGCCTGAGGCCCGGGAACACTGCTCCCCGCAGCCACACCGGCGCAGCTTCCAAGGCCATGTTTACAGTCAGCCCAATGCCCACCAGTCCACAGGACACTTGAACTACAGTTCTCGGGATGCCCATGAAGTTCGGCGGCGGACAGCCGAATGGCAGGAGGTGCTGCCCACTCGGCACCCCCTGACCACCACCACTTCCCTCACCATGTTGGGCGAGCCCGCATACCAGCGGTGCCCAGCCAACTGCTCAGCCCTGGTCCCACGCTGCCCCCAGCCCCTGCCTGAAGTCCAGGCAGCAGACCCCGCCCCTCCTCTCCCCACCTTCATGCCACTTAGCCGGAACCCAGGGGGAAATGCCAACTGCCAGGTGTATGACAGCGTAGAGTTGAAGCGACAGGTACAAGAGAGCAGAGCGAGGGCCAACTCACTGCCACCGCCTTCCACCTCCGCCTCCAGGCCCTCTCTGCACAGGACCGGGAATGGGAAACTTTGCTGACCACAGGCAAATGTGGGTGGCGGCCGGGCAGGGCGTGGAGCGAGGAATAAAGTACACAGAGTCCAGGAGACATTGTGGTGTTCTGTGGCTTGGGACCACCATTCCTTGGTTTTCTGAAATTTGAAGACAGTGACCCCCCTTCTTGGTGTGGCCCCTTTAGCTAGTGGCCATAGTCCTGCCAACAGGCCCCTCTGGTACTGCACCAGGCACTTAAATAGATGTTGCAGTAGATTCCAAAGCACTGATCTCCCTATCTCCATTCTCCCTATTCCCAAAGGGAGCTTAGAAATTCAACCCCATAGTATAACTTGAGGTCAGACTCCACAGCTGGGGACTCCACAGCTGGGGAGATCTAGGTCCGCGGCCCAGTATATGCAGGAAAGTCAGTGCTCTGGATTCTAGCCAGACCTCCCCTAGGCGCTGAGATCAAGGTCTTTGCCAGGGTGGTCAAGGAGATGGAATGAATGAGTTAATCAGGTAGACAGTGAGGGAACAATGGAGGATGAGAGGGTAGGTGTGATCTTTGGGACCTGCTTGAACTGTCCAGACTCAGGTTACCCTGACCTGATTACCAGGGCCTTCTACCCTGGACCCTCCTTTTCCTTCCCCTCCCTCATTGTGACCCCAACCACCTGCCCCTTTATGACCCAGTCCTCCCCTCCCCCACCAGAGGAGTCTGGTGACTCCTAGTGAGTATGTGGGGGCCAGGGGGCCCAGGTAGTCCTGGGGCCCCCGGCCATGGGTGAACAATCCTACCATGGAGCCCAAATGTGCTCTGGCACCAACCCCAGGAAGTGCCAGGACCTAGGAGACTCAATTCTTCTGATTCTAGGAAGCTTCATCTTGTTCAACGTGGGAATCAATGTGGTGATTCTGGTCAGGGCTGGATCTGGGCAGAAGGTTTGGGGTGCCCTGGGTCTCAAAGGGGCTGAGGGAGGGCACCTGGAACATGACCAGACAAAGGTTGGATTTCCCCTCACCTAGATTCTGGTCTCTCCTCTCCCCTGCTTCCCTCAGCTCTGGAGGCATCTGAAGAGCTCCTTGCGGATTCTTTTTCATTACTTTTTCCCCAAAGGTGAGTGGGCCCCAGCAAAGTTTCCAGGGGATGTGGTACTGTGCCCTTTCTTCATCCTTGTCCCCATTCTCAGCTCCTCAAAAACCAGGCATTGTCCCACCCCGCCTCTCCCTGCAGACAAGCCCCACAGCTGTGTAGGCAGCCATCCCATGTGTATGCGCAACTCGGCGGATCCCAAGAACCTCTCCTCAAGAGTCTCTTCCCGCTTCCATCATCGCCCAAGCTTCCTGCTCAGGCACCCTAACCATCTTGACTCCTGGATACCAGACGCCAATGATGAGACTTCTAGGAGCTGTTGGCTGCCGCCCCCATGTGGACACACCAGGGCTCCCATGGAGGCTCCATGGGGACTGTGGAAGGAGAGGATGATGGGAGCTGGGGCGGTCCCTCTGGACACAACCTTAAACACCCAAGCCAATTATCTCACCAAGCAAGAGACATCTTCTCAGTTAGCCAGAATAAGCAGGTTGGACATGGTTCCCTTCTGCTTGCCCCAAGAGAGCAAGACTACGACTCCCGACCAATTCCAGCCCCACTCCCTAGCTCACACCTCTGAGCACACTGCCCCCCACATCTACTCCCCAGCCCACACCTGCCACCCAGTGTACATCCCTGAGCATACTCCCTCCCACACATCTCCAGCTCAAACCTCTCAGCACAACCCAGCCTCAACCCAGGCCTCCCCAGGCCACACCCCTCAGTACAGCCCCTCCCAGGCCCAGACCAACTCCCCAGGCCACACCCTTCAGCACAGCTCCTCCCAGACCCAGACCGACTCCCCAGGCCACACCCCTCAG